CATCTTAAAGCAAAGCTTTATACACCGGCCAACAAGATTGAAGCAGTCGATGTCCTCCCAGTTGAGGGAAGCGATTTGTGCTGCGTCCGATTCATTCCTTCAGAGGTTTTCTTTTTTGTTTTTATGTTTTTTTTTTTTTTTTTTTATTTTTGTTTTTGTTCATTTTTAGTTTTGTATGATATTAGGATGATAAATGTCTCTTTTCCATATATTCTAAGAAACCTCACATTTATTCTTGCTTTTAATTAACAGTTTCTAGACTGGAGACTATTACGTTGATGTAACGCTTGATGGTGCACCTATGCATGACTCACCTTTCTGTTTCCGAATTGGCACAAATGGCGATAATGATCCATCAATAATAACTGTGACTGGCGACGGTATTCACGGTGGTCAAACTGGCCAAATCTGTACATTTATTATCAATACTTATAATGCTGGAGCAGGACTTCTCCATATTCTGATTAGTGGACCATCAAAAGTTACTATGAATGCATGTGAAGTTAGCGTTTATTCATTTTCATTTCATTTCGCTGTTAGTCATTTTCAAGCAGGTAAAATTATTGGTGGATTTTTGTAAACCACCGATCACTGTTGGAAGATATTCTTTCCTAATCAGATTTCTATGTTTCATAATTTTCTTCGGAGATATCCAGAATTTAATAATTTGAATAATGTTAATAAGTGATCAGAAAAAAGTGGAACCTATTGCGATTCGGCAAGTTATATTTGTTTTTATGTCAACATTATTCCAGTCATCATCCAATTTTCAACTAATGATTATTTGTTTTTCATGTGGAACAAGGCTACAAAGTGTTCTACGTTGCAGCAGTTCCTGGACCCTACTATGTGACTATCAAATATTCAGGTTTTTTTTTTTTTTATTTTTCGCAATGATATCAGATTTAGAGACCTAAAATTACTTTAAATTTTGTGTTCAGTTATTTTTCACACTTTTGTAACTATCATCTTATATCCCTTTTCTCTGGCTTGTATCTTTAACTTGTATCCTTTTATAGGTGTTCATATTCCTAGTTCCCCGTTCAAGGTAGTTGTGGAAGGTAAAAAACTTGATGATGGCAAACCAGACTTTTCATTAATCAAGGTTATTTTTCCTTCATTCTGTTTTATCATTAATTTATAGCTAAAGGAACAAACAATTGATGGTATTTTTTTTAATCTTTGAAAAGAAATATAAGGGAATATTTTAGATTGATGCGTTCCCTAAAATTAAGAAAGAAGTAGTTCATCGAGTTCCAATTCTTTCCGGAGATGCGAACAAAGTTATAGTGAAGGGTTCTGGTCTCAGTAAATTTTTTCCTGGTCAGTCGGCGGTCTTCAATGTCGACACTGGTCTCGCAGGTTTGTTTTTTCTTGATAAGTGCTTTAAATATGCAAGCTTTTTTTATATAAACGATAGATGGCCATTATGTAGAGCTGGTAAAGAAAGAATATCATAGTAGTATTTATGGATATTTCAATTTCAAAGAATAGTGAATTCGGGAAGTAACTGATAAAGTTAACAACTTGTTAAGGAGACAATATTTTGTATGTTGGTCTACTTACATCGAAGGGACCTTGTGAACAAGTTGCACTACAACATCTTGGTAATGGCCAATATGTAGTCAAGTATCTTATTCAGGAAGAGGTCAAAGGTTTTATTTATATCAAATACGGCGATGTGGATGTGCCAGGCTCACCGTTTGCTGTTTCCTTTTAAGCATCTTTTAAATTTCCGTTGTTTTAAAACGGTATTTGTGACAATTCACTGCACTTAGTTCGTGTGTGAGTGGTTCCCTGTTAATTTATTTCACAGAATTTGCAGCAGTTTTTTCTAAAATGGATTGCATTCTGTACCATTAATATTATAAACTTTGTAACATATGCTTTTGCCTAAATCATTTATTGGCTATAATTTCTTCATCGATGTTACGGAAGGACAGTGCATTTATGACTTTTTTTTCACGAATTTGTTATTCATAAGTCATCTTTTAAATTAAAAAAACTCCCGTTTAAACTCTTGTTTTTATAATGAAGTATTTCCTGTTCATGTTGTTGACCACAAACAATGCAGGAAGTAAAGGATGCAATATCATTTAAAAATATCCCGCATGTTTATTTTTTCTCTCTATTTAATTTTAAAATAAGTTAAGTAATGATACAGTTGTTTGGTTTTTCCTAGGATTAAATATGTTGCTGGAGGTGTGTAGTCCATTATTCTAGACATGAAAAACAAGTCGAGAACAAAGAATAACTTGTTTTGATGTTCCAAACTTTCCTTCAAGATATTTAGCTGTAAATATTTTGATATTTAGCTCACGAGGGTTATTTTTCACTCAGAACTGACTGTAAAGTGAATTTAGGCTTCTATTGAAGAATTAACTTTTACGATGGAACACTACTTAGTGGTTTCGTCCCCCTCCAACTCATTCCAAAACTACCTGAGTCATAATATTTCGTTGTTATTCTTTATCTCATAGTATCTTTTTTATACAACTTCCCCTAGATTACAGTGAGGTCAAATTCCTTTCAAAATGAAAATGATATTCTTGGACGTATGGTTAGTTCCATTTCATCTTCTGTTGTTGAATGCTGTTGAGTAGTTTGACCAAATATTGGAAACAAAATAGCGGTCTGATTTCGATAACCCGAAAAAATGCTTTGTTGCAGTTGATCCCGAAGTAATGTATTGTCTTATTTCCAGCAAAATCTTGTTTCATCATAAATGACATCTGAGTCAGCACTTAAAAAATTTTTTCCGTTATCTTTAAATCAAAAATTCCTTTTCTGACGATTTGGATGGAGGTTTATAACAGAAAAGGAATTTCGGAAGGCATGTCGGATTTTGCTGAATATAAAGTCGAGGACTAAGTATTTTGAGTCAAGAAAATTGTAAAACAGACCCTTTTGATCACATTGGAATCATCTTCCCCTTTGAAATATTATAAGCAAAATTCTCGTATTCCTTCCTCGCTTTCCCGCTGAAACTTCAAAGGACTGGCAGATTTCCATTAGCTTCCAGTGAATATGATTATAATTCTTCTACTTTGATAATCAAAAGATGCAGATAAAAGCTATAAAATGTTGAAGAAGTAACATGATTTATGCATTTTCAACATGTTTTTCAAGGTGAAATGAGCTCTTCTTGGTTTAATTTGAAAATACTTCGTGTGTATTATTTTGTGTGACATTAAAATCGTATGTACATGAACATCCCTCGCTAAATTAATTGCAGTCATGGCTTAAATTGTTTTAAATCTCTAATTATGATTACAAATTAATTACAAACCAGGTGCAAACTGTCCACAAACTACATGCAAATCAATTACGAACTGTTTGCAAACATGCTTCATTTCATGTATTAAAAAAAGAAATTTTCTGTGCTACTAATGTTTCAGCAAACAGTTCAAACAAAGCAAGGTGGGAAAATCCGTGGAAAAAAAAAAAAAGAAAAATTGAGAAAAGAAGCTGTACAAGGAGTTCACAAAATTCTTTTTTTTTTTGAATAAAGTTTTGACTAAACATTTCTAGAATATATATGCATTGCACTGAGAATAACTCAGCAATTATTGCTTTCGTTTTCTCTACTTTTTAAGATAACAAATTCACTGCAAACAGATTCATGGATAGATCATTTACCGTATTATGTGTACGACAGAATAAAATTAAAAAATAGAGTAAGAAGTAAATTTGCTAAAATGACGGGTCAAATAAACCATATTCATACAGATTGTTTCAATTTGTTTTACATTACTATTAAAGATAAGCTAAGGAAACATCTTTTATCATTTCTTCGCTATTTATTGCTAATTTCTTGAATTATCTAAATTTTTAGCGCAGATTAAACAACTGAAGTAGTGACATCGCCACAAATGGACAACTCCCGACTCAGCATTTCATCACCTCAGGAGTTTAATTTGTATCAAAAAACCTCTTCAAACTCTTTTAAATTATTAAAATCAGACGGGCTTTATTTCGCAAGCAGCATACACCACTATTCAGAGATATCGCAAAGTGGGATTTTGCCTGCCTCTGTTTTATTGTTTCTTAAAGATGTAGAAGCCTCTAAATCCATGCTTTTTTGGACTTTTCAAGACTTCCACTTTCTTTAGCTTGCTCGTCTCGTCGACACCTTTCTATGTTCGCACTTGGAAGCACTTAATCCGATTTGAGAAATAAAATTTGCTATAAAACTGAAACTCTAAATTAAATTAGTGTATAGAAAGATATATATATATATATATATATATATATATATCATGTTAACTGTCCATTTTCAAAATCTCACCCTCCATGAGCACTTGATTCCCTATCACCTCTTTGTTTCATTATTTTTCAGATACTCGAATCACTTGCCGCAACATTTTATGGTTCTAGATGTGATATAAGCAGTTAACTGAGGTTTAAAACACAAGGATTCTTAAAAATATTTGATTTTCGGCTTGATTCATAACGCCTCTAATTTCCAAACTTATCACTAATCTATACTTGTAACATACATAATATGCCTGAGAAATATTTTCTTCAGATAGATTCAATCTCGTAAAATCCTCCTAATGCTTAGTCATATCACCATTTTTCAGACTTCTTCCTCAAAATATAATTAAAAATTTATATTCGATCTAAGCGATTTCTTGAATGTTTTGTTAAGGCCAAGTTATTCTCACGACCACAATACTATAAAATAAGTGTAGTAATGGTTGAAAAAAGAAACCAGTCAAATTTGTTGGTTCAGCAATGCCGTTTATTAAAAAAGAAAAAGGAACAACTTTAGCAGGACAACTATTTAGAACTGAAATAAACAATGAAAGAAATCCGTAGTAGTTACACAGTCTGCTTAATAATTTTAAATGATTCCCCCAAAATTTTAAGCTGAAGGGACTCGGAATCTTTTAGTCATCTCATTTCGTTTCTCTGAAATATAAGGCAAGGATACCTTGCCATTCGTTAGTTATTTTAAAATACTATACAAGAAAAAAGAACATATTTAGAAAATATATTTAATTGATATTAACAGGTAGTGGATTGTCCGGGATAAGTGATGAGAAAAAGGATGTGATGAACGTGTAGCAAGTGCTCCAGAAAACGACCCACGCAGTCGGTTCTCGTGGTTCCTCTTCAATTCCAGTCGCCAATACTTCGTTTGTGTCCTCTGTACCATAATCTTGATTGGCATCGGCCTGGAGTGGCCAAAGGATTCGTTTTATCACAAGGATTTGAAATTTTCTCTGTACTAGTAGTCATTTAAAGCTGTTTTTACTAAAATTTTTAATATTATTTAAAAGATCAATATTATTTAGAGGATTTATAAATAAAAGAGCACAGTATAATCAATGTTCCATAAATGGTATATTAGTTCCAAATAACTAACAGGTGAAGAAAATAAACATAAGTGTGTAGTTAGCTGACAATCAAACATTCATTTTCTTCTCACTTATAACATTTGATGTATGTAGAATGCTTCAGACAGTTCCAATGAGAGTGAAATTCTTTTTTGGAAAATTTTCTTAAGCTTTGGAATACCTGTTGCGGTTGACGAACATTATCAATGGCAGCAGCAAGTTCTCTATTCGCCCTTTCACGATTATTACGATCACGTCTTGCTTGGATGAACCAAACCAGCAAGATAAATATCAGTACACCAAAAAATCGTTCCGCAGATGAATACACATATACTAACATTATCAGAAAGCACATCCGGATTGCCTAGAATTTTCCATGGTGAATTCTGTAGAAGTTTTTTAGCATATTTTCCGCAGATTTTATCTTCAAATTTTTGCTGCTGATCATTCCCGGAAAAAAACTACATCTCAGCGCTGCCGACGAATCTCACGTACCTTGTAAATGACATCTAGAAAGTCTCGTTGCTGACCATCCACATCACCAGCTACTGCTTCTTGAACTATACCACCTGCAGCAGGTGCTGCAGCCAAATTTGGTTCACCAGCAAGAGCCTAAAATTCGATAATTTTGAACATCAGATAGTATAATATATGCTTAAGTCACCTTAGATATAAACTTCGCGTTTATCTATTACTTTGCAATGTACTTGATAGAAATAAAATAAAAAGTTTGAATGGATATATTCCAAATTGGTGCATTCAAACAGCGAAATAACTAATAAACTTTTTTGGGAATGGAAGATTGAATATATCACGGAATGAAACTGCATTCTAAAAAGTATAACCTCACTTCTGGAAACCATACCTCATTTAAAGACCGAGTGTCTCCAACAATGTCTATTATCGCATAAGATGAAAACTGTCCAAGAAATTAAATTAAGAAAAGTGAAATGTGTGGACAACTAAAGTCCAAAACATGCCTCAGATTCTTTTATATAGTATAAAAGGAAATCTTTATCATTCATCATTTTATAGATTCGGCATCTAAACGATGTGCAAATGCGCAGTATGGAGAAATCAATTTACACACTATATTGATAACAACTGCTGATAGCCTTTTTTAATTCGATTTAAAATGCGTTATTCAAAAAAAGAGAAACACACTTCTTCCGGTTGATTAGCTTGCTGTGGGGGTTGTAGCATTGATTGTTGACTATTGGAATTGTTTTCTAATGCGGATATCATTTGATGCACGCTACAACGTATTCAATTTTTATGCAAATGATAATGGTTCTGAAGATGACTAAAGCAAAATCATTTGAACAATTGACAATAGACTATCGTGTCTAAATAATAACAGAATAAACAGATAATTTTGTCGTTGCATAGGTAAAACCTTTCTTAATATTTGGAAAAGTTTTTTTTTAATTTATGAAAAGGTTTGAAACTCACTAATTGTTGTATGAAATCATATATGCTTGATATGCGCTTTGAAAGTGAGAACTTGAGGAAACCAGCATTGACTGTGGTGCAGCAAAACGTCCTTGAGCGGCTGTATTAGCCCATAATGGATATGTGTAAAGTGGGAAAGCACCATTGACATTATGATTTCGTACTTCTGCTGCAGTTCCCAAAGAAGTTAAGCTTGTTCTGTAATACTATGGGAACAAATACAATAAAAAATGATAATATTAGTAATACAATTACACCAACAAAACTTCAAAAGATTCTAAAATTTTCCAGAAAAAGAAAAATATTAACTGTATACGATTGCTATTACGCCTTCTCAGCATTGCTGCATCCACGTGAGCGTTAAAATCTTTGGGCGGACAAACAAGATGTATCACGTGAACATTTCCATCATCAATTGGTCGAAGTTCAAACACTGACTTTAAGGTATGTTCATCATGCAAACAATGTCCAGCATAGATCAAACGCTGTCTTTTAGCTTCCTGGAAAAATAATGTTTAAATGAACGTCAAAGACATGATTTTGTAAGGATAACAATGGAGAAATTCGTTATAAGTTTTAAAATCTATCTCCCTTCATTGCCGAATACGACTAGGAGCAAATAATTTTCGACTCTTTCCCCATTATCTCATTATCTCTGCGGATTTACTTCTTTTTCTAGCTTTCTGAATTTGAATTTGAAAAATCAAACAAACAAAAAGCGCAACTATTATCAGGAGCTACCTACCGGTTTCGAAGGACAATCAACGGCAAGTTTTTCTTTGAGTTGAAGAACAGTCCACGATGAAAGACAATTTATGGATAGATCGTCGAATGATTGCAATGCACATCGTATTAACAAACGAATATTTTCATCATTCGATTTAGTCATTTTTCTCCTTAAAACTTATATAAATACATAAATATAAAATATATAAATGCATAAATAAATAAATATATCCGATATTCGGCTCAGTCAGTTATAAATCCTATAATCATTTAGGATTGATAACTGACTGAGAAAAAAAAAACTAAAAATTAAAATTCAATAATAAATTTTAAATGCATCATGCGCTCTCACACTAACATACAGAAGGCCTATTATGTAAATATCTTCCTATATACCAATATTATGCCTTTTATTTATCAACCCTTTACCGGTTTTTCCCGAAAATTTGTATAAACATATTCAAAATTATATATAGTAGGTGTGGAAAATGATTATGCAAAAAAAGCATGTAATCAACTAGAAATGTGGAAATAAGGAAAGCTTGGGTTATGTGATACCGTAGTTTGATATAACGTGATTACTTCCGAGATAACCAGAAATATTACAAAACATACAATTTGCAAAGATCAATCTCAGAAATTGTAAATGAAAGAAGCAACAATTAGTATTTAAAAAGATTCCCTTCTACCAAATATTCTGTAAGGGTGAAATATGTCAAACGTTCTGCACCCCTCGTTTAAAACGCTTCACGATACTTACTATGAACTATACATTTTAAATGGCCATATCATACGAGTATATTACCCAAAACTGTATGGCACAACATTCAATACAATTTCCAGGAATATTTTTATAAATATTTTCTTGAAGAGAAAAAAGTGAAATGAAAACAAGAACTGAAGAAAAACTAGTTTTAGAAGGACCTAACAAAGCATCACACAATTTACAACTGCGATAGAGTCATTCCAACAAGAAATTCCATTATAGAAAATCTTACAGAAATCTTGCCAAAATTATTTGAATGTTATCAACTCGTACCTGTCACATACTAAATCCGATCAAAATATGCAATTTAAATCATTTTGTTCAAAAGCAAAAATTTATTTAGGAAATACTAAGACACTAGTAATTTACATATTCAAATTGCTTACATATTAAATTAATGTAAGACTACCTTTGTTAGATATTTCTAAATATATGTTACTTGTCATTCCCATCTTCAGTTAATAGCTGGAATTAAAGAACTAATAAATATTCATTGACTCATTCATATTCAAGCGACAGTATAATTATAATACGAAATAGTAAAGAGTTTTAAGGCTGGAAAAATGCAATAATCTAGTGATGTTCTTCCATGAGTTTAATAGGAATTAGGATAATCTTGCAATGCACGACTAGGAAAACAGGGCAATTAGCAGTACATTTGCTTTAAAAGGTTCCTTAGAATGGAAAATCAAGAATGCAAAACGGAAGAGAATCACACCAACAAAGTCTTTCGGCCGCTGTCAGGAGACTGGTCAAGTCACACCCTGCACTCCCGCCCATCAAAATGTGACACGTGAGATAAGGTAAAGTATGACCCGTCCTTAGCAGATTTTCAATTTTCTGTGGTAGGCTATGGGTAAGTGACGTGATTTGAGACGTAGACGTGTTGCTGTGCGCGATGTGTTTACACTTAGATATTCAGTAGTTATTGCTTGACAAAACTTGCTTTTATACTTTTTCACTATCTCATTTTTCTCAAGAGAGCATGACGTATTAAGGTAAGCATGGCGTATTCGGGTAAAAAAATGATGGTTAGTTCTCCCTTCTGAAACTAAGCGACTCATCATTTTTTGTCAGCTAGCCTCTTAAACTCTTAAATTTTAAATGCGTTTTCAGTTTAATTCGGCGGTCAGTTTTTTAAATCCAATAATCATTAGTTTTGATTGAGAGTGGAATTTCATGCTGATCTGTTATGAATATATTTCAAGACATGGTGTTTCAAACAATACTGATAGATATTTCGTCCGCATTGATGTCTAATTCCGCTTCAGATAGTTTTGATACGGAATGTCTGAATTCTCGGACTGGTATTTTGGTGTACCAGAAATCACCAGATACTGGTTTACCGGAAGTGTCGTTTTGCCGCTATTAGGCCGATTTGGTTTGTTTAGCCCCAGCTTAATGCTTCTTGAATGGAATCTATTTTTCCACAAATTTCAGGTTTGTGTTTTCAATAGGACCTTTGGAATATGTTTTAATTCAATTTATATTGATTAAAGCTACAATCAAGAATTAATGCTGTGTTTCGAACAAGGAATTTTGGAGGATGACACACCTGTATTCTTTTGTCATTATAATAGTCACCACCACAAAATGAAAGGAAGGAATTTATCCCATATTATGTGTTTTCCTTAGAAAACATTATATACTGTTTCAGATATGGCGACCAGTGACAGCATTATTTTATTATCCATTAACACCTTCATCGGGTTTTCACTGGTTATTAATGCTGTACTTCATGTATAATTATTCTCGTAGCATTGAAACTGGACTCTTTGATGGTCGACCAGCAGACTATCTTTCAATGCTTATTTTCAACTGGATCATCTGCACCGTTAGTTTTTCACGCAGCTGAGAGCCATAACCATTATAAATGTAAAGTGAAAGGTCCGAAGAATAATTTTTATAGGCTTCAGAAGAGTTTTATGAAGTTTTTTTATAAGTACCGATTTATAACCGCCGGTACCATAATTTGAAAACATCTGTAATATAATATTCTGCAAGGTCATTGAACAATTTTTCTGTTACTGCAGCTGCAGTTAGAATATTTTGGACTTTTCTAAATTACCTGATACCATCAAATCCATAATAAAAATCAGAGTTACAACTTCTGTCATATTCCTTTTTAGATAATATGTCTGGCGGCTGGTGTGTATTTTCTTCTGGAACCATTGGTTCTTAGTGTGTTGTACGTATGGTGCCAGATAAACAGAGACCAAATTGTACAGTTTTGGTTTGGAACACAATTTAAAGCGATGTATTTGCCATGGATACTTGTCGGTTTCAATATAGTTCTTCGAGGAGGTGGTATGAATGAACTAATCGGGATTCTCGTTGGACATGCTTACTATTTCATAACATTCAAATACCCGCAGGATTTTGGTGGTCGCAGTTTTTTACAAACACCACAAATCTTGTAAGTTCCATACACAGTTATGGGTGGCCTGTGGTCTTGTTACCCTAATTTAATTATTTATACTGGCTTCTAAAAATTTACTACCAAAAAACCTTCCTATGGTATGAAAATTCTTAACTTCTTACCAATTTGAAGTTCATTTTTTCTATACGACATTCTCTAATATCTCGATTAGATTTGATCATTGATTTTTCCGCGTTATTAATATTCATATAATTTATACATTGTGCTTTCCTTTTCCTAATTCATTTAACAACACAAATCAGCGATTAACTGATTTCTTGGGTCTTAAATAATTTTAGTTCTAACTTTTTGTAGGTACAGATGGTTCCCAAGTCGGACCAACGTCGTCCATGGATTTGGTCAAGTGCCATCATATAGAAGAACAAACATAGGTGACGGTAGAGCAGTTAGACATAACTGGGGGCAGGGCCGTCCGTTGGGTGGTCCAGACTGAGAACTCAGAATTAATTTTACCATCCTATAAAGAGATCTTCTGAAGGTTTCCGAAAGTCACACCGCAATCAGGTTATTGATGATTCCTGAACTTGAAACTCAATCCAGTATTTCTATTATATGTTTTACTTCCGTTTGTATGGAATTCAGTTTAAATACTCAGAATGATCCCTTTGCCATTCATGCCTTTTGGTTTGGTCCATTACTGTTTGGAATGTTTGAGATGCTTCCAGTGATTTTATTTATATTTTTTAAAGAATGTAAAACCAAATGTTTACCTTATCACTTCAAATTAGACCGCAAATTCCACATGATTTCTGAAAAAAAAAAAAAAAAAAGATTGCGTTGTATTGCGACTGCTGAGACATTTCACATGAAATCAAAACTTGTGCTGTTTAGGAAGAGCCACAGAAATAAAGATGTGCTCAAATCCATAATTTATAGTAGTGTTGCTCGCATAAATAACCAAAAAGGCACTCAAAAAATTAAGCATCACTGGAAATAACTGTTTGGGTACCAAAATTTCAGGGAAAATCGTACGAAAAGCCAGTATGAAAGAAAATACATGGAGCTGTCGAGACTCCTACTTTATTATAAAAACAACTATAAAGTTAATAAGCACGAGCGAAGAGAAATGAAAGATATGAAGCACGTAGTAAAGCGATGCAAGTAATTATATAAGTAAAACGATCCCCGTATTTCTATAGGAAATAAATGTTAGATTCACTGATGTCACAAACAGCGCAAACATAAAGAGAAATTTAGACAGTCATTCTCAAAAGTAAGTTATAGGTTATAGTTTTAAAATGGAAAATATACTCTACACATGCTTTTGCATGCACGAGTAACAGCTAAGAGTGTTAAGACTCAAGGAAGGCCTCGAAAAATGGCACAGTTGAAAATTCAATTCTTGCATACATTATTTTCGAAGAAAAAAATCAGGACTCCATGTCTTCATACATTAAATATCTATAATAAAACAAAGGTTTAAAAAGTATTTTGAAAAAGTACTTTTAAAGAAATCTTCAAATATTTTCGTTCCAGAAAACTAAAACACAATATGAAAGTGGGATAGTCGAAATAGAAACACCCCAAAAATTAGGATTTTCTGCAGTTGAGAGAAACGGTAGCAAACAACGTTCATCTTATTTGTATTAACATATTGGGCACCCATAATTTTACTGACATCTTGCAAGTGGAGGTAGTACGACAGAGTAACGTAACAACTGCTTTCTCGTACCACATTTGCGCTTCATACTGAGCTGGCTTAGCAGTCCTGACCGTTTCAGGAAGAAATACGATAACATATTTTCATTTATTGAAAATATGTTATCATATCACATTACGTCCTTTGTAGCATTTTTACATTCGCAGATGAAGTGACAACTGTACGTAAAGCTTTGCTGGGTAGGTGTCGTGAATTTTTGGCAGACGATGAATGTGATGAATTAGTTGCATCAACTCTACCACCTATCTCTTGTTTTTTATGACTACGGCGCCTTCGTTCTAGTTCACACCGTAAGCACCGTGATAAATTTGCTTCACGAAGACAAATTTGATGGTACAAATGACCTAAAACATTTTGTCTGCAATAAAGATCAAGCCAACAAATAGTAATTTGCGAAATTCATTTAAAACAAGCTCAGCCCAATTAGTCATAGCCTAATATGACACGACGTCAATAGTTGGGTAAGCACTTGATAAACCTTCTGAAAGATTTGTAATATTGTCAAGCTACTTACAACTATGTTCACTATAGTGTGGCATCATTTAACTGACATTCATTCTTCTACATTTCTACAAAACAGTAAGTGGGTTCAGTAAAACGAAAATATTTTCTAAATAAGGTCCGAGCACTTACCACAACGAAATACTATAATATTCCCATCGTCCTGTGTCACTCGCGTTTTCAGCGGTAGTGTACAGCAAGTACAGTTGCTAAAAGTGATTCAAAATTAAAAAAAAAAAAAAAAAAAAGAAACAGGATAATGGTAAGAATTACTTCTTGCCCAAGAAAAAAAACTGAGTAGCAAAAAAAAAATCAAACCATAGATACTAACCCATCAACTGAAATAGTTAGGCTTCCATTCAATAATTTTGAACTGTTAACCATACCAGAAACGTCGAGAGCTGATGCTGGCGAAACAGCTCCAACATCTTCAATTGTTGAAATCTTAAGCTCTGTTAAGAGATCATTGATGACCTGGAACAATTGAAAATACCAAATATGGTGTCGAATGCAACAATTCACGAAAATAACTGTACAAATGGAAAAAGATGGACCTGGAGTGAGCACTGCTGAAACAAAATAGGATTTCGTATGTACATACGTGTCGTAATACTATGAATTAAAGGAAGCCAATTAAAATTAACTTTACTTCACACAAGTCTTACCTCTTTTGGAAATAGGTTGAAAAACCTATTACATTCGTATGCCTTCATAACAGCAAGCCACTGCCAATCCTCTATAGTTAAACATGACGCCAATTTTTTATTATTCTTTAGAAATTCGAAAACTGTATTGAGGCCTTCACAATAACGCATACATAGTAGAAGCTATAATCAGATGTTATGAAAAGTTTTAATAATGGTTCACTATCAGATTCTTAAATTTTTAAAACTATATTACGATTAAAAGTAAAAGCTGTTTTCATATGTATTGATCATTAGAATAAAGTTCATTGTTAGAAAAAGTGCAAATGTATTTTATTCTGATTGTTATGTATGAAAACACAAATTCGCTTTATCTGATGTTCATAGTAAAATCATCCATCAGTAGCAAAATCAAGAAATCCCGTCTACTAGCCAACACAAAATAACTATTCCAACTCATAAATAGTGATTTATCCATGAATCATTCATCTAATTCAAACACATATTCATAAAAAAAAAAACCTGTGAAGTCTTCACCGCTGGTAACCATACGAATTTTTCCGAACATTCTTCGAATTCGAGTTTATTTCTTGATACTTCAACATGAGAACTATCATCAATTTTTTTTTGGATCTCAGAAGATTCTAAAAAGATTCAACCACTAATATTCAGTAAATCTTTGAAATCTAAATCCATTCCAGATTAACTAACTTTTTGTAACTATTGTGACATTTTTGAAAAATGCTCGGTACACTAAATCTTGGTCCCAGTTCTTAGCCTCCATTTGCACTAAATTTTTAGTTTCCTTTTTTCTTATGCTTCTTTTTTCAATTCGTTCCACCATTTCTTGGAATAATGCAGCCTTTTGTTCTGCAAAACATAAAAAAATATTTTTTATACATTCTGTTTTTCTTTTCCATCGACTAATATTTGTGAATCTTTAAGTGTCCAGTAGCCAACATGTCTCTACTTCGAAAAAAATAAAACCGAGTTTACTGAAATAAGAAATATCGGTATCATAATGGAACAAACTTAAATGATCATCGAATTCGAAAAATACTGCGCACGCCTCACACAGATTTTCCGAGGAACTTTCACTATTTTTCCCAGTAGCAGCAGCACGATATTCAAACAATTTTGTCCACTGCTCAATTGAGGTGGGAACGCCACCAGCAGCGAACTGATCAACGGTAACTCGTAATTGTGCCATTTTTGGCCCGAATGTCATAACATGATGCCAAAGTCTGGAAAATTCATGCAACAATGAACATAGAAAACTCTGAAATTTAACACACTGCAGAATTTTTCTATCAGTTAACACAATAAAATAATTTTAAATCAGTTAACCAAAATCAATCATTATTTCACCACAGTGTTCAATTTGCTTAATTCAAAATCTGTAAATAGCCTTTGAAAAAAGGGGAGATAGTAGGATATGCAACTAAAGTATATCGTTAAAATGATGAAATGTGCATATTTGTTATATAAAAGTTATCTTTAAGACTGGAAATTTTTATCGAAATCGTTCCCCCTGTTTTAATTCGATTTTGTCACTGCTGATTCGCTTGTCAAACACAAAAAAAATTTGCAAAGTTAGCACCCCAATTACATTATTCTTTGCCAAATGTCATATCAAATATTAGTAATACTAATGAATAGATCACACAAATTCATGAACAAACCTGTGTAAGCCACAAACTTGGCAGTATAAGTTCCCTCCATCCAGCTTTCTAGTTCTTGACAAGGTCAAAGTTTCAGGTGCAATGGTAGCATCGCTGGGATGCATCAAACGTTTATCTTCATCATTTAATGTCAACGCTACTTGCAAGCTTTTCATACCAAACAAATCATTCTTTTCATCATCACCATTCACTGTCCAAGTCATTTCAATCGGTTGAACAGCTACGAAATTCTTTTCAATGACGTAACTCTTATTCAACAATCTGAAGGAAAAAGTAGGGAAATGATCTCGATGAATTATGAAAGAATAGATCAAATTAGGAGAAATCAGGGAACTGAAAATCGAGAAATTACAATTCCAATCATAAAAATTATCAAGATAACAACAATATGATACTTAGAATGTAGGAAGATTTATGAGTGAACGATATATTTCAACCTAGTATCGTTTTTTAACGACTGGTCGATCGAACTATGTCCTGAACTTTCATGCTCTTCTACAGTTTCATTGCAATTCAAGTTCAATCTTCCATTGGATGTGAGATCATGTTTTATTAGTTGCTGCTCCGCAGTCCATTCACAACACTCGGACTTTTTATGTTCGATTTCAGGCATTACCTATAACTGCTCACTAGAAACGGCAGTATCCGAACAAAAACATTAAAAAAAATTATATCTCCTATCCAACTTAGATTCGATATGAAATAAAATAAAGGCCGTCATCAGTGGCAACTTATTGTAAGGTGAAAGATTTCCTCAACCTAATAGGGTTAAAAAATGTCTTAAATCAGTAATAGATATTTACAATTCTCCTTCCAAACGGCTTGATTCCTTTCACTATCCGAGCTCCTCGTCTTGTTCGACGTATTGTTCGAAGATGTGCTACATTGACATTTATGTTTAGTGGCATACTTTCCACGCATTTTTCGAGCAATTCTAATGGATCACGTCGTCCAAAGAGAGTTTTAAAATCAAGCTAAAACAGAACATAATGTTTTAAGTGATGTTGTTTCAACACGAAAAAGATCGTAACCTCAAACACAAACATATTGTTACAGCCCAAAACTGAACTACATGAAATAATATAAAATATCTAAATAGTAATATTTCGAGGAATTTCTAGGAAATTAGTTTCAACATAAAAAGGACAAGCAAATTTTTAAAATCACTACGACGACCCAAAATATGAGAAAAATCTGTGCGCTCAATAAATAACTGACCGAATAATCAGCTAATAAATTTGAAAGATCCAATTAATCATAATTCAACTTATAGACACTAATTTTGTGTAAAATCAGGACTTCAAAAGACTCTGATAAATACAGAAATAGAAAAACGGTAAAAAATACAGAAATAGACATTCACAATTCCATAACTTGAGATTTAATCATTTCCAAAGAAATCAGGTTAACAATGAGACATATCAGTAATTCTCACATAACAAACTCACTTGCGCAGTTCGTTTTTGTTTCTGCTCATGGTTTTTATGATCTCCAATCAGTCGCTGAAATTTCTTTGCCGCTACGAGATCTTTCGTTACATCATTAATCGTTACCTTTAACATGTAAAACATTCTTCGATACTAATAGTGAATATGGAATTAAAAAAACAACTCCTGCATGCAAGTATCAAAAATACATTCCCGTCTGAGCTAAGAAAATCAACACAAATAAATAAAAGAGGTTACTTTTGACATATATAAAAACACTTCCTAAAAAATTAGTTTACTAAATAATGGCTTAAGGATCGAAAATGTTCTGGAAATTATGCATAATCAGGCAGCAATTTCAATAATTTTTCGGAACACTGCATGGAATACATAGAGAAAGTAAATGAACTATCGATCGAGTAAGAAGATAAAAATAAACCTGTTGATCAAACAAAATAAAGTTATTAGAGCTATCCAGCAGTATACGTAAAGACTCAACACTATCATTACGCATCAACTGATTTGCTGATGCTTTCTCGGCATCCAACTATAAAAAAGAAATGAAAAAATCTTTTAAATTTAGTAATATTAAATAATAGCTATTATTATCACTCAAAATTACTACTGGACAACAAGAATGCAAATAAAAGTGTAGGCAGAAAGCAAATCTCACCAACAACATTCGAGCTTCATTTATTAGTTTCTTATGACGTTGTTCTGCATCTTCGAATTTTACTTCACTCTCATCAGTTCCCATCACGGATCTCTGATTTAAGGGCAAACTTCTTCGTTTCCAGTCGTTCCTTCTGGTTATTAATTGCTATGACATCAAGCAAGATCTATTCAAATGATTTAAAACAAAATAAAATTACAACTACAGTTAAGAAAGTTACTGACAAAGTCTTGGATCATGCAGCAAAATCATACACTTCAATATGCAAAGTACTTTTGCTCCTTAATCGCAGCGGTGACGGTGCTCTGAAAGTGAAATCATCCTCATAACCACTATTTTGCATAGTTTGAACGACACGATGAATGCCTGAAAGTATGCTATCTAGAAATCTAATTTTTCAAACTACAAAAAACATGGCAGAGAAGCAAGAACCTGAACTCAAACGGTGAACTGCTCCTTTTGGTTTCTCTCCAATAGCACCATTTCTTTTCAATTCACTCAGAAGTTTGTGCAAAGCGTTAAACACATTCTACAAAATATGACATCAGCAGAAGATCAAGGGTAGAAATTTCAACTACCAAGTAGAAGAAAACCCGGAACACATATTTTGAAACTTACATGTGTTATTTGCGACTTAAAGTGTTGAAATGTTGTTATTTTATTCAGGATATCTTCCAGCTGCTCACAATTCCATGCAGTATGTGAGTTGTAATTTTTGTTCATGACATAATCTACGTAAATTAATTGTGCAGCCTAAAAAGCACTTGCTTCATTGCGAAATCCTATATCTTTTATTTCTCGGATAGCCTTTCTCAGAATTATCAATACAATTATCATTATACAGTTTCTACTATGTAGATAACAATTATGACCGAGAAGGATAAAAAATCAAGAATAACGAGCCTGTGAGTAACACTGCCTCCAATGAAGTTTTTCTACAGCTTTCTCAATCGTAAACAACGTTAACTTTCGTAAACTACCTGTTTCCGATAAAAGGAAGACATCAGCATCATTTACCGCGTATTCACTTATTGAACCTGAAATTTCTTTCCATTTCTCCATCCTTTATGTAAGATCTCATTTCCTTTCAGTGCTTTTCAAGTGAATTGTAAACTGAAGGACATACCTATACAATCCATTGTACTAATAAGTACCATATGACTGTCTATGGGATCGATTAAACAAAATGTTGTATCTGTTTTCGTCATCAAAAATAAATTGCTGAAAACCTGTTTTTAATGTGACACTTAACTAATAGTTAAGAAATGCATATATCAAAATGTGACACTAACGCATGCACAGCTATTTAAATAACAACATTAGTGAATTCCAAAGCTTTAAACATTATGTTACAACCAGTATGTAAATATTTGTTCAAGTTTGATAATTTAACTATTGAAATGAGGAGACAATATACTTCACGCCGACTCATCATGCCAAGAGTCAATATCGACACCAATTTCAAGATTAGATTCTCGAACTTCGCGTTTTCAAACAACAGCATGAAAAATAAGATCAGAAGCTAAAGTTTACTTTTGGCATTTGATCAGTGTTAAAAGCCCGAAATTGATATTTCGAACTTCATTAATACTAGCCATGCTGTCGAATAAGTTATCTTTCTTGAAGGAGACCACGGGAAATCGACGAACAGTTTTCAAATTTCGGTATTGATGAGTGCTACAATTGCAAATTCTGATAACAATAGAATTGATATTTTTTTAACTGGAACATAATATATTCAGTTTAGAAATATCAAGGAGTACCAATCACATAATAAAAATTGAATACATTTAATCGCTTCTAAAATTTGAATAGATTCAATGGTGCACTAGGTTTTAGACAAATCTTATCTCAGAAAACATTTAAACCAAAACCTGTAAACTACACCGCGACCATTAGCTTCCCATAATCGACCGCTTGGACGACTAGCAAATATCACCGTCAACTCGTTATATCCCTTTGTATTCATTGGTGTCATGCCATTATTTTCTTCTCCATATTGTGATTTCCGTTCCTGTTGGTCAGAATAAAAGACAGCGCCAAAATGACCCTTCCGCAATCTTTTTCCAACCTTAACTATGCAAAAAGTAAATGCTGACAACGTACAGTTAAAACGTTGTTCCTGCGAATGTTATTCGAGTAAGAACAATATATGACGATGAATAGCAATAAATAAATGGTTACTGAACAGCCAAAAGAAAATTGCTTTGCAAAGGAAAACAAGGTGTAACGCAAGTAATTCATCCAGTTTGCATAAAATTTGGTTAATAAAGACCTACAGTTATCACAAAAAACAACGCATTACAAGAATAGAACTTATGGATAAAAACTTGATATATAAAACGATTAAGATCTTAATCTGACCTGAATACAACTGTACGTTCTCAAATCACAAACACAGCATCGCGTTAAGGTAGAGGCAAGCAGACAATCATCACGTAAATCAAATTGAACAATTTCGCTATCTGTTTCAAATATAATATCAGTTGGTGAGCGAAAAAAGCTACGATTCTGAAACATTTCAAACCTCATATTTTGTAATTAAGAAATCTAATGATATCCTACAAGAACCTCATTTTAAAAAAAGTTTCATTACTCTTACATGAACTACAGTCCGACTAATCCGTCCTTTTGTGTCTCCAGCATATACTTTGGAACTATCACTGCACCATCTCAATTCTGTGACATGGACTGCTTGACCATATTGATCTGTAAAATTTTTTGAAATTAAGATTTTATGAAATTTTGCTTCTGACAAGAAAAATACAACACGATTAATGGTGTGAAGTAGTAACGTAATCTACATCGGCATTTCCTCGCTGCAAAGACCTTCACATGCTTATTTCATCTTCAGACGCTTTTTACAACAAAATTAAAGTTTCTAAAACAAGTAATTTTTTTTTATTAATTCCAAACCTCTCATAAGTAGAAAAGTCTTATTGTGGAAATTTATAAAATCTAATTAAGAGAAATATCTCACTTCTTGCAAAAAATTTCGTCTAAAAACGTTACCTTTCTTTCTGGTCATGAGTTTTTTCAAATAAAAGACAAAACTCACCTGTACCAACATGACTATCGGTAGTAAAAAGCGTAATAGGACTTTGGCCGATGTCAACCAGGACTGTAATTGTCAGGGAGCCTCGTTTGCTTGCTGTTGCCAAATATTTCTCATTTGGTGATATAGATAACTATAAATTGTTGAAATTACCAAGAATTTCGATAAAATTAATATATGAATGATGATCAAGTAAAACTGCTATGATGAAGTAAAACTAAATCTGAAAATCTAGAGTAAAGTTAGTATAAATTGAAGGTCAGAAGAGATTGAAATATGAAAAGTATCAGAAATAGGAAAACAAACTATGTAACCTTGATAATAGGTCCGTCCTTGATGGAAATGACTTGTATTGGGACAGAGCTTATGCGATTCCGATACTTCGAAGCAAACCTTGAAAATAAATAAACCGTTCCACTTGTCGATCCGACGGCTAGGTAATGAGCAGATGCATCCAAACAAATGAACTGAAAGTGAAGACAGATTTAGGTTCTAAAATTTGATAATGTCTAACCGCTTTAAACTATCAAGAAAAAGATATTCCAAAACTAGGATGAGAAGAAAGAAAAGCTGTACTTAATAAATTGAAAAAATAATAAGGAACCCAAAGCTGTAGGAGTTAATTTGTAAATAAAAATTCTCTTGTTTTAAATTTCAGAGGCTAAAGATGACTTCAATGGATTTTTTTAACCAAAATACAATATGCAATGTTAGATGAAGCATGGAAATTTATACTAGATCATTCCGTATTAAACAAAACAGGATATCGAAGCTAATGCATTATCAAATATTCTGTAAAAAAAAGTTAGTCTATATACCAAACCTTAATTCGAGTAGATGAACTCGTTGGAAAGCTTAATTCTTCAAGCGATGTTAATTCAACAAAAAGATGGGTGAGTGGCAAACTACTCTGTTCGTTTTCCTTCCGTTCCTCTGGTGACTTCGTACCACTACTGCTGCACTCAGGAATAAGGATATCCATGTTATTGAAATTGGTTTGCAGATTTAGTCAATGAATAAGGCTGATTCAACATCAGGAGATCGACCTAAGTACTTTTTTCTGTTCAACCATGTAACAACTGCATTTTTATGTAAACTTTCTTTCGACGAATGTTTTTGAAAAAAACAAAGTAGCAGTCACATTGATAAATACTGCAATTTTAACAGCAACAATCACAATAATAAAATAATGATAATAACAGTAGCAAAAACAACAAGAAGGCGATTACGTTATGAATCGGGGGAAATCACTGATCATCATAACAGTTAGTGACTGTAGTAAAAGTATATAGATCGACTATAAAATAGGGAGAACCAAATGCTGATAAAAACAGGTTGCAGAAGAAATGAGAAATGACGGAAGGAAAATAAGGCGTTCAAAAGAGTTTAAGATTAGAAAACAGATGTCGTTACAGTGACAAAATGACCGATATCGCGAAACAACCGAAAACACTTCAATTAAACATTCTCATAAGATACGCGATGTTTCCCGATAATGTTGGACCGGAAGAGTATCGAAAACACATGCGGGGCAAGATAACGAAAGAGAAAATGTTGATGAAAATCTTACAGGTACTGAGGAAATGATTCAGTCACTCTGAAGTTCTCAGTTCGAATCCAAATAATGAAAATTCATCCATAGCATGGCAGAAACACTACAGAAATGAGATACGAGTACTTAATATAAAGCATCATTAATCAGGCTGAGGTCTGAGGTCAAAGGTTATCCACAACTGAGTTGAATGAGCAGAGAGTGGCTGTTTATCTTTTCGTCTCACGTTGTTTCGCTGTTATCTCGCTGCAACACGTAGAGGGCACCTTCAACTGAAATTCGCCCAGCTTTAAAGTTTTGAATTCACTAGCGACTGCTTCACATGAAATGCTTCCGAAATGGAGGAGGACTGAGCGACTGAGCTCTCGTGCTGACTGCTGGCCGGTCACTACCCGGAAAGTACTCATAGTGTCGTCTTATCGATGCTTTCGTTAGTTTGACTGTCCGGAGTCCAAAAACATATTTTTCTGTATAGTAAGTACTCTCTTTATTACCCACACTCTTTTATTCCGATACATAATCCGAAAAAAACTCACTTAAAGTTCCGAGTATACATGAGGTTCTGAGATTTTCCATTAGAAGCTTAGTTATCATAGGGAAAAAGTACTGGGTATTTGACAAAATATAGAAGGATCTATAAATGTTTCCCACGAGATGCATTGCAAAACTTTAAATTTGATGATCCTTCCAGAATGGAGATGATTTTTAATATGACTGATTAACATTAAATTCATCACTTTAATTGAATTTTTTTATGATTAATCGTTTTTTAATGAAAGGTTTTCTGCTTCAGTTTTCTATAAAAAATGCAAAATTCCTGAAATTGTGTCATCCTTTGCCTATCTTAACATGGAACACATTGTTCTTTTCAAACATTTAAATGTTTGTTAAATATTTGGAAGTAATATATGATACACTTAGAAGTTTCCCGCATAAACTAATGTCATAATAATGAACTGAATATACAATATGCAGTCTATGATTTTATTTAAAGAGAATAGAAAGCTCAATGAATCTGAGTTAATTCAAACTATACCTTTGACGTTTACTTATCAATTGCGATAACCAACTGCGCGTAGTCTTTTTTTAGAAACAATTATCATGGAAACACGCGTAAACATGCATCTCTCACGTGTGCAGTGTCACCTGAATTGTTTCTAGGAAAACTCTCTTCGATGTGAAGCAGTGAATTATTTCTAAGAATATGTAATATATATATATATATATACATACATACATACATACATACATACATACACATACACACACACACACACACACACACACAATTTCCTCGATTTAATATGTTTCACCGTACATTCTGTTCTCCTGCTACCAACCAGCGGCACTCTGTTACAATGCGCCGGGCAGTATTTCCCACCATGCTTAATTGTTATTCCCTGGTGCTCGGTGCCACTGGTGCTACCGTTACAAGGCACCTTGGATCTGAGGGATGGAAAGCACTGGGATCATTTTTTTCCTGGAACGGGGCGGGGAAGATGCTTGATGGGTGTCTGTTGCAAGCGACTATTTCCTATCTGCCCGTGTTCAGTTTCACTTGTTTATCTTGCATGGATGAAAGCTACTTTCAGTCCATTTTTCCTCCTTTAGCTGCAATCCGGAATTATTGTTCCGCATGGCATCCAAATACTTCATAGTTCAACTACTCATCATACCAACTTAACGCATTCTCCTTATTCCAAAACTGGAAGTATGTAAGTCGTGTAATCATTAAGCTAAGTTACATGTTTTGGTGAAAAGTTGAACTGTTAAAATGTCGTGTTTTAGTGACGATGGGAAGTTAAGTGAGTATTTTGGCTTTCTTTGATATGAATGTAACGATTTAATATCATAATATCATACGAAAGCTGAAGATACTTTCTCTTCTTGCTGTATCCCAAAGTAATCATAGAATAGTAATAACAAAGATTCTTTCATGCGATACTGATATGCTTCTGTTTCACTGATACTATCACTATTCATTGCTGATAGCTGATTCATTGATTCAAATGCTTTCCATGTCCCATCCAAATGTGACTTATCACATCATGATCTGTATCACTTTCCAGATTTGTTGCTCTCATTTCTTATCACTTACCGGTCAGAAAGATAAAGCACAATTAAAATTTAGGTGAGAAGTGCCATTGACTGTCTAGTTTATTGTTGATTTTAAAACTTCAGTTTCATTAGAAGTCATACATTGATTCATTTTCTATGCAAAATCTATTAAATATTGACTCTCCATGGGTAAAGTTATACGTGATTTTGGGAACTCGTACTGAGTACTTGTGGACGCATAGCTCCAGATAATTTTTAAACTCTCAGATTTTTTCTTTTTGTTCTAGACTCTTCAGGTACATGTTTTTTAATTTTTATTTGTAATAGCATGATAGCGGCGTCTACTTTTACTTCATCGAAGACTTATTTCACTGAGATATGAGCAATGAGATTTATCTCGCATTTTCTAGAAATTACTGAAAGTAATTTTAATATTTGAAGACAGTACTGCAGTTGATCAATTGAAAGAATCTTAGGATATCCAGCTTAAGATTATTTCAGTTGGAAGTAAATCACTTTCATCCACAGCAATCACAAAACTTTGAAAGATTTCAACTGAGCAAGCGGCGAAAATCAAACTTCAGAATTTACATATTCAATGTTTCACTATATTTTTGCCAGATGGCTTGCATCTTGTTTGTTCTTTCACTTCGGAAGTATGCGAGGTTATTCAACGATTAGATTTTCCATTCCACGGATTCGCTTATTCTTGAAGTTTATCATTGGGGTGATCATTGTTTCACTCTCTATTACTGCATTACTCCTTTCCATTACACTCTTTTTGCTGCGTGAACGTTTCTCGCAACCCTGGCTTAATTTACGTGGTAGCACAGCTACTGGAGACGACGGCTTCTTATGTAAACAACATGGTGAGTTCTGAATTGATTTAGGAATTAATCTGAATTAATCCTAAACTTCTCGAATACGTTAAATGAGTTACTTTGATCACGTTCATCACGTAACATGAACTGTGTCTGACATATGCCGACATGTTAGCAAAAAAAAAAAATATATATATATATATTGTTAGGATAAGATCTTTGCGTATAAGTGTGTGCGTACACGTTGCAAGTGTATCACGCCAAATTTAAGCAATTTCATGAAGTCCCTTCTGTTTTATTGATTTCCTTATCTCATATTTTGCTAGGATTACATCTCGTGAAGCTTATCAAAGCGAAGAAATTTTTGCAGAGAACGAAGCTTTGCATAAATTTGTTTTGAATCACTTATGTGATGAACAAATATTTTCACACCTTTTCTTATTTACCCCTTTTATCACTGATATAGTAAACATACCAACTAGTGTTAACTGTGCATCTATTTTATAAGCAATTCAAATTTTGTTAAAACTTTAATTAAATTAAATACTTCAATTATGTGTTCTCCATTGAACCTAAATTTCATTAATAAGTGACTAATTTCACTGTATCTTTTGTCTGATTCGTTCACAGAGCTAATACCTGGCTTCCTATACTTTTGAAATACTGACACAGTCTTATGCTCAGTGCACTTGCAGGTCAATTGTATAAACATTTTATTTAAAAAATCCCTTCCAATTGTTTTACACGATTTTCAAGTGATTTAGTAGCTTACCAAGTATTGTTAATTAGAACTGAATTGTTGCTTTCAAAATGATTTAAAAAAAAAAAAAAATTTGAAATGGGCTTTGAGTTTTGTTAAAAATTTCTTTGGTACTTTCATAGAATTTCTTGGGCTTCCATTTTATATTTGCCTAGCTATTAGCAATTGGTTTTTTATTATCATAATTCATCTTTCCATTTTTCCCCGTAATCACCGGAACAATAATAAAATCCGGTAAAATCACGCGACTTTTTTTCAGCAGTACCCAATTTATTGCGGCATGAGGAATCTGCGGCGCGGAATCTTACCAGCAAATCATTGATAATAATACGATCGGTGCTTCTTCTTCAACAGGGTGAATTGTATCTGAAGATTTTGTTGCTGAAAAAGTGTGAAACGGACGTGAGTGACATACGACTGCAAGTTAGTATTACCGTCATACTCCCATTAACATCACATAGTAAAAACTATCAAAAATAATGGAGTTAAGGGAATGAAATTAATTGAATTGATTTGTCATCTGGAAGTTAGGGCTTAAAAAGTTAGAGCAAATAAAAAAATTCTTTTTATAAAGAATTTAAAAAAGAATAAGAAAATTTACATGAAGACAAATTTTCTGCTTTCAATTTCTTTCCAGTTAGGTTCTTCTAAATCAATTGCTACTTTACATCAGATTGACTTGAAGCAAATTTTATGCCCAGCAATAAAACATATTGAAAGTGACAATTGTCCATGGGATTGGGCTCCAGGATGTGCATGGTCATCGTTTATTGCAACTACAAAATTGGAGTTCGTTCCGAATCATATTCTTGCAAGTCTTCAAATTTTTCTTCATGATGTAGAGTCAAAAAGAAAGATTTTTTTGCAAAGTAACCGAAAGCAGAGTATTTTGAATAATGATTCAAGTGGGGAATTCTCGACATTGCTAATCATTGAAAGAGGATGCTAGGTGAATGTATAATGGTAAACTCCTGTCTCATGAAAAGGCTAGTGTTCAAATTACAGAAGTTTAAAGATGGAAATCATAAGCCGATTAAAATAAGTGTAAGTTTAAATGAGGAATCAATTTTCGAAATTTAAACAATCGCTTCATTCTTTGTGACAGGCGATGACACACCTCATTTTAGCTTAGTTTCAATAACCATGCTATTGGACTACATTTGGAACCATCACATCATATCGAGAATTTACCTTTTGCTGTGTGTACCCAGCCTCTTTACTGGTTAGTTCATAGATGTTTTGGAAGAGCAAGCAGGTAAGATGGAGAAGATAGCAAATCATTTAAATGTGGTGGTGATTGAAGAAGAATCAGACATACTGTACGATAAAAGTGCAAAATACAAGAAATTGTCTTAGTAAGTCAGAGAAGTCGCAGTCAGGATCACTCCTGCAAGGTTTCAAGTACATTCAAGTCACAGGTTCATCATCTGAATTCACTTGGAGTGAAGTGGCAGTAGTTTCAGTGATGCTGTTTCATCTTAATAGGACTTTTTAAAGCATGTAACACAATGTGGTATGAAAATGATTGAGACAGTACTTACCTTACTGTCATATGCATTTACTGTACACGTCTGTGTTGTTTAACTCTTTTGTTCTAGAAATTACTGAAATTTCCTTATAGGAATAGAGAAACTAGGTAACATTTCTTCTCAGTAAATCTTTACATGTAAATGGTTTATGATGAGTTAAAAATGTTAGCAAAATGAAGAGTTAATGGAGGTAAGCGATTTCCATTATAGCAAATACAAGCTTTACCTAGTTGCCAGAAATGTTATAAATTTTGGATAGTTGATGAAAAAGACTATCTGTATTAAGTACGATTTAAGTATCTTAATAAATGAATAACAGTAAAGGTAAGCGGTGATTCCGAACATAGAAGGAACACGTTGAATTGCGTATTGTACAGGTCACACCTACTATAAAAAAGAATCAGAGATATGCGCAACGTGACAGATAGCTGTAGTTGACAAAATAACCTTCAAACGTTTCAACTTTTGCACTCAGAAATTCTAGAACATATTATTGTATATGTCCCGAAGATAAAAAAAAAGTATATTGGATGATATATTGGATATAATGTAGAAAAAGGGTTTGTTTGTTGCGAGGATACTTTGATCTTGTGAGGAAAATTGTAGGAAAAAGTGTTAAGAAGGGGAAGAATGGGAAAAATGTCTTTGAGGAAGGATTGAAGTCATTTTCTTGGTCAAGAAACCTTGTGTATTTTTGCTATGTTTTATGAACTTCAGGTATATCGATTGGCTTCAAGTAATTGAATTCATTGAAATATGGTCCTTTCAAGGCGTCAATCATTTCTTCTTCTATTTTTATACCATTTCACAGCTTGTCATGGATGTATTACAATATTATGAAGCGAAAGTTCGTCACAGCACTATTGCTATACAGATATTCTCACGTGTTTGGGCATAAAATATCGATAGATCTGAACTTTGGACATAAAATATCGATATATCGATATACGTGAAGTATCGATATACTAAATTTCTCGGCCCATAGAACAATAGACTGATATGCATTAGCTTATGAGATGAGACCATAAAGATAATAATGCTTCTATCCACTTCTGAAGTTAAATATTAACAACCTCTTATTTTGGTCCTTTTGGATATTTTAGTGCGCAATTGACCAAATCAAATAGATGAAATCAATCTGTTTACGAGAATTTCTTGTTTAATTTCAGGGAACTGTAACATTACTGCCATGGAGATCATTTCCTGTCGGAGAGAATGAAAATCCGAACAGAGATGTGTACAGGTAGTTTCTTAATGCAAGCAGTCATTTTGTTCAAAACTCCTGTAAGATGGAAACTTAAACAAAGAAATGAAACTGTCGCATTTGATTATCTGCCACAGTTTCATCAGCTTTCTATGTTTCGGCTTCCGGTCGATGACAAGTAAAATTCCTCCACAAAAATCTTATTTTGTTCATGAATTTTGCAATACTCCTATCGTCCTGTTTATTTCTACCTGCAAAATGTGATGTTTTCATGAATTCTATTAGAGCGTAATAGAATGAAGAAGCAAAACGAGGTTAATATATGAATTTTGGTGCTTCAAAGATAAATCTGATGGAGCAATGAAGTTGTTTTGAAGTTTTTCTCTCTTTTAAAATTAAATTGAAATTCTAATGAATGTTTAGATTGGCACACAGTCTCGCAAACAATGATTGTTTGTGGCGCTCACAGGGTGCTCATTTTGTTGCATTTGTTGATTTGGATGAATATATTCTCACTACTAGTGGGTCAGTTCATCCCAAAGTTGAAGGCTAAAATTTCTGCGCACAAACTTGTCAATTAGTTTGCAAGATAGAAGGAAAGGAAAAAGTTCCAGACGACAACTTCAGCTATCTTAAATGAGACAGCTCAATCCTAGCAAAGGATAAAGCAGGAAGATTAAAAGAAAAATATTCATTACAGATTGAATATCTAAAATAAAGAAGTGAATTAAATTTTAGAGTGCCTCTTATTGCATTTATTGAGAAAAAAGCGGAATTATGCCCACGTTGCGGAAGTTTTGCTGCCATACACAGGAAAATGTATTATTCCTCACCGCGACCTCGGAGTTTGTTTATTTTATTTAAAGACCATCACTTTCAAGAACAAGTTCAATGCAATAGTTGTAATTCCTGTTGTTTTGGATTCCGATTAGAAGTGGCTTATTGTGAGACCTGTTTCACATCAGTTATCTCACTTCGATTTCAAATGATTTATAGCTTTAGAAGGAATGTTGAGTTGTTGCAGATGACTTCCGCTGGCATGATGTAAGGTTTGACTGGTTAACTAATGTAGGCTATGGACTACCCGAAATAGAAGGACCACACAAACAAATAGTTCGACCGGAAACAGTTTCGATTATCTCTACGCATTCAACGAGAAAGAGTTATCCCGGTTATATCGATGTCAATGTAAGTTTACTTCGTGCAAAAATTAATCATTTAGTGATGACAGTTGGATAAGAAGTGGAACTGAATGTTAATGAACCAGTTCGAGAATTATGCAGGTGATGCAGAAAAACTGCCACAATCCCGGGATTTCCCGCATAGGTGTCAGAAAGCTGAACATATTCCTTCTATTTAATTAACTTAATAGGACAAAAGAACAGTTCTGTAGCATTTCAAAAATATTTACTGCTAGTTTACTACCGAATATGTTTTAAGATATTTATAACTCACATACTTCTCATTGCTAAATTCAATCTATTTTGAGCTCAATTCATCCGAAATCGTTCTATTGCATGCATCTTATAAATGGTCCGAAACAAATCATTCAATGAACGATGTTATTACTTTGCCACAACTTTTTGTTGATGTCCTGGCATCCTTAAATTCAACCTATTATGAAATAGTCCAATTGTTGTTCAAAAATAAAACAATGCGAATTGATAGAATATTACAGATGAAAATTGCTAAGTGTATCAGTAGATAAGTTGCTATTTTCGTTTTTTCTTGAATATATGAATTTCTTTATGAAATCCGTTCTGGTAAGCATAGATGAATGATTTCAACAGTATTGATAGCTCATTTAGTAACTGAATCGAAGGCTTCGATGCAGCGATCTGAAAGCTTACTATACATTTTCAGAAATTTCATAGTTAACATACCAAAAAAATCCCTTACTGATTGATGAGCTGAGCAGTTTTTGGATATTTCTATTTCGAAATCACTAATAAGTGTCGACATTACTTTACAGTTTGTACTGACTAACATACTTTTCAGATGGCATATAAACAAATGTAAATCAGTTGATCTGTGTAAGGCGGAAATAGTTGGCCAAACAGGATGGATTTATGCGGAGAATATCAGCACAAATGAATATCAACTTATGTAAATTTACAATTTGATAAACATTGTTGTGTTTGTATATTAAAGAAATTTTTTTGCGGGTAAAATAGTAACTATTATTACCTGTGATCTCTTTCACAATTTTCACGAATTCCTTCGAACTAGGATTTTTTGCTGATTATAAAAGTCAGATAAGATATACCTTGCTATTGAATGATTTGATAGATTCACTGAATGACTGGTTGGTATCGTCAGTTATAAAAATTCTATACAGTTCGGTGTGTCGAAAAACCGAAAAAATATTTATTACATACTAAATGTTCCTTTGTTATATCCCATTCTTTGAAACAGTGAATCCTTTATCTAAATCTCAAATAGTAAATGTCTTCATTGCTAATCTGCTAAGCCAGCGCACTTTCCACATCTTTAGAAATCTTCTCTAATTAGTTAATAAAAAAGAAACGATCGGTGGCAGTTTTCTCACCGTTATTCAGTAGTACCATTCTTTCCTTAGCTGTTTCAATTATTCGACTGATATTGTATAGACTCACATTTATAAAGAAAATAAACGACATTTGAGTCGATGTTGCTCGCAGACAAGAAGTAAAAGGTCCAATTCAACCTACAAACTTAAAGTAAGTCAAATGAATTTAACTAACCCAAATCATCTACTCTTCTGACCAAAAACTTCAAATTCACGACACGGTGTGTAGGTGAGTGTATTGCATTACCACCATCTCAAACACACTGCTTTTAACACTTCCGATAGTTGATATATACAAGACACAATATTTACTCCACTCTTCCATGTCACGATTAAAGTGTCTATATAAGCTGTCTGTATTGAATAACTCAGACTGTTCCAATTTTAACTGACATATCGCTGAGTTCATAATAATTAAAAAAGACTCTACAACAAACTGAAATAATTTTAATGAAAAAACAGTAAACAACAGGTACAGTTTAGTTAATCAATTAGCATTTAAAAAGAAAAGATATAAAATAATTCTCACGTGCAGAAAAAATAATAAGCCACATCAAAACTATGACATATTCCCGCGAAAAACTAGACTATAAATTGCAGTTTTTATAAATGTTATCAAATTCTGGTTAATATGCAAAAAAAAGGTAGAGGTTATTCAGCTACAAAATCGTAGAGGTTATTCAGCTACAAAATCGTGGTAAAATATGTTCACAGTGTTCATGTAATAGGCGTAGAGAGATACCCGAACAATCACTTAGATATGCAGATGAGAAAGCGCAGATAAAGAGACTTTAAAATAATGATAAAAATAAGTGACTTGCTTTTTAACTATGTACGAAAAATGAAAAGTAAGACACGTCCAATTGTTTAAATTGTAACAAAATAAAATTATAACAAAACTGTAAGAAAACGGGGTTTGCTCCATTTTCTAAACGCTTATTTTTGGATAAATGTGGCGAAAAATTAATTTTATATACGTGGTTGAGGACTGGCTTGTGCAGATGATGCTCGATAATTGATGCCCTTCCGACCACGTAATGAAGGTATTCGTGTTGGTCGATCGCTGTCTACTGAAACATCTGAGCTTCGGCTTAGTGGTCGTGACAAATCCAACATGTCACCATGAGATTCTGAGCGTGAAACAGTGCTTGAAGCATTTGGATGCCTAATTCTTGAATCTACAATTAGTAATAATAGCAAGTGGTAACATAACTTATTTTATCAAACAAGCAAAAGCTGTGCTAAAAAATATTTAAGTTTAACCTTGTCCATTTATTTCAGTTGATTTTCTATTTGATTTCGACATATCAAGTGGCGAATTGCGGCATATCGTTGACGAACGTCCAGCACCGTACATCGGCATACTGCGCTCCGTCTTTTCCCTGATCTAAAACTTATTTCGCTTATCTTTTTTTAAATCTAATCAAGGTTATGAATGAAGTTTCCTTCGTTTCTAAATTTCGTCTGGTTTTTTTTTATTTATTGACACTCTTTAAATGAAAGAGTGTTTTTAAGATTAACAATGAAGGGAGTCTCAAAAACAATTTTGAAAGCGTTGGCATGCAAGCATTCTCCAAGCTAGTTTTATTTCTTCTTTTTTTACAGTTGCTGTGTTGAAAGGAAAATTTTTGGAAAAAAAAAAAAAAATGAATTACACAAATAGAAACAAATATTAGCAGCTACTTTTGTAATCGGACCCGGAGTTGCCTGGAAACGAGACTGCAATAATGATTCCTGAAAGCGACGAATCGACGAATCACGACTTGATGTTGATCTGTCTGACTTGATAAATGTTTCTATTGTATCGTACGCATCTTTTGGTCGAACATCGTCATAGAAATTGCGTTGCAAGTCGAGATTCGTTCGTCCTTTAGCTACAAGATATACAAGTTCTATGAATGAAGACAGTTTGCAATACACATATAGAATATATTTCACATGAGAAATTTGCCAGTACTTACCACGACAAGGATCATGTTTATGTAGAAATTCTTCCAAAGCAACCCATCCACCACCTACGCGAACCATAACTGTTGATCGAAGAATGCGGACCATACGCTTAATTTGCGTTTCACCGAACTGAAAAACTTGGCACTTCAAAAATACTGTTAATAATATCTCCTATAACGTACGTAGGAAGAGAAAACATAAATATGTTTGAATTAGTCTCTTTCATCATGAAGTTTGAGTATAAGAACAACACTATCAACTTCTCCAGTGAATTATAAAGTAAGAGATTAGAGTTTTCATGATTACTTACCAAAAAAGAAATCAGCAATTAAGCTTATAGAATGGTCGAACTAATCAGAATTGACGATTACTAGTAAAAATAGAAATAAATAAAGGACATACGCGATAATGTCCATCGCTCACTTTCTGAATCTTATATCGATTAATACAGTTACATCTTTCCGTCTGCCTTACAACTTCTTCTGTGATCTTTTCATTGTCGGTCTTCTGCTTTGTCGATAGTTTCTAGATAATAAAAACACATGGCTAAAACTACATTTATCATGAGTTCAAAGAACTATTTCTTTAGTAGGATACCCTAAAACCTACTTTCGAAAACTCGGAACGAAGCTTTGCCATAAATTCTTTCGAATCAATCATTCCATCACCTTTGTCAAACTCATCCGCAACTTTCTCCATTTCTAGTCGAGTAGTAGGAAATTCTAAAATGAAATTTGAATTCGTGGTCGCTCTCGAGGAATTGAACAAAAAGCTATGAACATGAAATAAATAGTCTAAAAAAGACTCACTAGATGCTATGATACCATCAATGAAAGAAGCTCGTGGCACTCGTCCAGTTCCACTTTTATCAATTCTTCTAAATAGATCGGAAATCCGAGCTTTTCCAGAATCAGTCCATTCTAAATACCGTTCACGCCACTGCTCGAATGAGAATGACTCCAATCTTTTCACCTTAAATTTGTGGACCTAATTAAAAACCCATGATACTTAGCTTTGGTTAGGTATCAAAAAATGATGACTAAAGATAATGAAATAAAGCGTAATCAGAAAAAGTGAATAATCTCACCAATTTTGACAACCAACTTTAGGATTATGGGATAACAGCAAGAATTCAAAAATCACTATGGTTTTAATCTCCCAGAATATTTTCTTTTTCAATCGTAAATAATCATTCTTCTTTTTTTTTCATTTTGATTAAAAATCCCATACCGAAATCTATATGGATATGGCTACATGAAAAATTATACGAATGATAATATTATAATGAAAAAAGTTAACTTTAATAAAGAAGTATAACTGCAATAAGAGATTTGAAGTGAAAATTGGGAATGAAAAGCCAAAAAACTTAACCTCCTCCAAATAATCTTTCATCTCGCGTAAATGGCGACCATAATCCATTGAATCTATCCATAGTTTTTTCCATCTACTGGAGAGCTGGTCGGATTTAGGATGCTGTATAGGATGTTCATGCCTGGAAAATGACAACATATTAATTGTGAATATTAATGATTAGCATATCATAAGCATTGCAATTTTAACCGATACCTTTGTAGTGTTTTGACACCTTTCTTTTTCACTTTTTCTTCTACAGCAAACAGCTTTCGTTGACTTCTTGTTGCTTCATCAACCATTCCTTGTTTTTCCCGTAAATTTTTCTCGAATTGTTCGTGGTCCTCAATAAATCTAAAACGATAAAGAAACGATAAATTTAATGAAACTAAATTCCTCTTCCTGCTGGTTATTATGTTCATTCTCCCAATAGTTAAACACCTTTAAAAATTAAAAGTGGACCTGTTAAGAGCATCTATTTCCTGAGGCAATGATCTCCCATTTATCATCCTCAATTCAGTACTTTTTTCTTCAATGTATTTCAACAATTCAGCAATCATTTTCTCTCTCGCACGAAGTTCCCTGAGCTGCTAAAATTCAGTATTTGAGATTTTGAAAAAATCAAAGCATGGCAAAGAAATTTCGAAAGATTTTCTTCAATCTCCTTTGAAGATCATTTTCCACCGTAATTTGAACTCAAACTTAAACACATTGAAATTTCAAACATTTTCAAGTTCCATTACCTAAAAACTAATCAATTTAGAGCTGCCGGATGAATTCGAATAATCATACAAATTTATATTAAAAAATTCCATACGATAACTTTAAATGCTAACCATTTCCAAATCATCTCTTCTGTTATCGATCGCATTCATTACTTCATCCCATCGATTTTGCAACACTTTTAACCAATATTTCATTGGTTGTTCCGCAGACGGATGACATTTGGAATGTATATCTTCCCCAGTTTTCTTGATGGATTGCATTAATATCCTTTTATCATCCATTTCTTTAAGCAGCTGTGCCACTTCATCCATTTGTTCCAGAATTTCGTTTTCACCTTCAGTTTGATTCTGAAAGTGAGTTTGAATAACGCTTTCATACCTAAAGATATCTTTTTTATTTTTATTTACCCCTTTCCCCTGCTCTAGCGCATCCATTTGTACAGTTGCCAATGCTTTACAAAATTGTATCTAATATTTAAACAATATTTTTGAAACTTCTGAGTTTAGTGTTTTATTTTTTAAGTTCAAATAACCACTATCATATTGAGATTGACATATGTCAGGATCATAAGTATGTAGCTAAGAAATAGAGACAGCTTATCATGGTAAAATTTTTTCAGCGTAAATTACATTTCAATAACATTGAAAATACCTACTAAGCTCATATATTAACAATCTACTAAGTTCAGAGAAATATTAATTAATCGGCACAACTGAAATGAAATAAGCAAAAAAAAAAACACGCCTTTGTTTTTAACCTTGCTTCAATCTTCGGTAGAAAATCTAAAAAATCGTGAATTTCATCACTGAAGTTTCTGGCAGTATCGTAAGCAATTTTCAGTTGTTCCTCTCTTTTTTTTGCTAGTTCCTGTAGAAGCACCCAGTCCTCATTAACTTTCTCCACCTTCTCCTTCAGATCATTCAGGGAATCATCCGTTTCTTTTCCTAACATCTGAAGCATTAGCATTAAACGGATTGAGACAACGGTCAAATTTTGTCAACTAAGTTAGAGAAAGATGAATATAATAAAAATAAAACACAAAACAAATTATTAAAACAATTTCAACAAAACCTGCTGCGCATGCTCCTTCACTGAATTCAACGTATCTCGATGAGCATATATTTGATCCATTAATTCTTTATGTTTATCGAGTAATTTGCTTACTGTCTCCAAATCACCATATACCGAAATGGTTTCAATATTCTGCAAAATAGGCAACGACTTTTCGAGCCATTCTCGAAGTGAGGACAAGGCCTCATCAAACTGTCCACATGTCAACAACGCATCTTCGATTGACCGCTGTCTGCAATACGATATTGAATTAGCTGCATTTAATTTAATCGGTTGAACTGAAGAAACAGTGATAAAGCAATAGTGAGGAATCAAATACAACTTATTCAGTATCGCTTGAAGTTATTCTAAATTAACTAGGATTTCTCAAATCAATCAGTAAGATAATCAAAAATAAAAATTACTTCTGCAGTGTAGCATTAACAAGTTGAGTCCATCTTTCCTTCAACAATCCATTCATTAAATCGATTTCGGCTTGTTCTTCACGTGGCGCATGCTCCGAAAGTGTCTTACCACGTTTATATATTGTCTCATATACTGCTTGTCGTTCCATCAGTTCATGTTGGAATTTCCGATGCTTCGCCAGGTCAGTTCGCAACCGATCACCACATGCCGTCTAAACATGATATTAATCACTATCAAAAAATCTGGAACCTGATTAATAACAAGAAAAAGTGCTTCTCCGCACAATCCAAATCTGATTTACTTTCACATAGTTACTGACTAATAATGTTAATTACTGCTTCTATTTAACTAAGGAAAAAAAATGCTAAAGACCGAGACATGAATCTGAGAAGCTGGAAATTCGAAACTCTTTGATTAAAACATTTACTCACACATTAGTCTTGGAAAACCATGAATTTTTTTTTTTTTTTTTTTTTATTTAGCTTCATTTCTTAACAAAAACCATTTACTGAGAATCCAACAATCGCAAAGAATTTTGTTTATAGATACAGAGAAATTGATGTCTAAGTGAACAAACGTCAGCTTGTTTGTCTGGGGGAAATGTGCTTTTATACATAAATAATGAATACCTGCGCATACTGATCATCAATCCATTTAAGGCTTGAAGTTATCGAGTCGATTACTTGAGCATGTGACTCGAAGTAATATCGTGCTTCCTGTAATGCGAGATCTAATTGTTTCATTCTATCGGCACATCTCGAAGCAACTTTGTCGAAACGATGTTTAGCAGAAACAAGCAAGTTCTTAATTGGTATCGCATCTTTTTTTTCGCAATAATATTGCAATTTGGTGCCTTTGCTGTTCAAACCACTCATTAATTCCCGGTAGTGTGCCACCTAAAACAGCTTGAAGTTACAAATGAAAAGAGTTATCATAAAGAATGAATTTCTAGCTCACATGTGCACACCAATATAAATGGTAGTGGTATCTGCACTGCCACTATTTGTACCATCAGCCTCGGTGCACTATTTGCGATATCAGACGAAAAAAATTCATTTCAAATTCACATATCCATATGCAACAATCTTCATGTTTTTGTTACCAAAATTCTACCTCAGCTTGGAATTTCGTATGTTCATTCATTTGTTTTTCTACAGTATCAGGAATCCTCGATATGTGTTCCAAACAACCTAAATAGCTTTCTGCTGAATTTAACCAGTCATTCATTTCCGCCATAGAAGAATGAAGTTGTTCAGCTTCTGTCAATGCAATTCTCAACTTTTGCTCTCTATCACCAATCTTGTCTTGCACCTGCAGAGGAAAAAAGTTATTTGATTTTTTACTACAGAATCGATAAATATTAAATTTTTCATTACTACAGTTTAGCAATCAGTCGCTTGTCGCAAATCTACTTTGGGACAAAAAATGTTCAAATAGAATTTATTTAAAATCAAAATTTATTCAGACATATTTCTTAATTATTTACCTGAACCCACTTTTTATTCAGCTGCGCTCCCCGTTGAGCAATCCATGAATCCCGATCACCATCAGATAGATACTTCGTTGCTGTTTCCAAATGAGCTTCTAGTGAAGGTCGATTCTGTTCAATTTCGGCCTACGAAATTTTTATGGAATAACAAAATCTCCAAGAAAAAAGAAGCAGAGAGAATCAGAAAACGGAAAACCTTTAAAACAAAGAAATCATCAAGTTGTGCTTGCGCGGTTTCTGGCAAACCACCTGTTGGTTTTATATGAGACAAATCCGCATCTTTATCTTGAAGCCACATAGACCAACGATCCACTTCAATGCCTAGATTTTCAGCGACTTTCCGAGCATCATCCAACTATAATGATAAGTTTCATCTCCGCTAAAATTCCAAAATCCAAAAAAAAAAAAATCAAAAATCAAAAATCAATTGATTCTTAAATGTGACAAGATTTGATAAGAAAACGAAGAAAAAAAGACGTAAATGAAATAGATCCTTTAAGTTGTAAGCAACCAAACTTGATATAACCACATATGATTTTGAATAAGACTTATTTCTATCGATTCTTAAACATAAATAGAGAAATATAATGCTTAATCTAACATTACACTACCAGATTACTGACAATTTGACAAATTGATGCTGTCTAATCAATGAAAACTATCTCAATTTTCACGGAGTCAATCAACTCAAAATCAAGGCGTTCTGAGAAATGGCCTGAAAGTTACCACCTGCACCCAAACATCCTCCAATTTATCGACCAACATATGCCAGTTTGAGTTCAACTTATCGATCATAGGCTGCGTTGAGGTTGCACTGTTCGGATCAGCAGCAATGATACGTTTAGCAGCAGTGTTCAAAGTATCTAAGCTTGCTTCATGTATTAGAATTTCATTTTGTATTACTTTATGTTTGTAAACCTCTACTTCCGCTTCCTTGAGACTGACTGGCCGAGAATTAATCTGCAATTAGTTGACTGCTAAGGTTGCAACATGCATAAGCAAACATCTAGAGTATCACGAAAAAACAAAAAAAAAAAAAAGTAGCAGCTTGCTACTGCAAAAACAATTCCAAGCATTCAAGAAAGTTATTGTTTTAGTTCCTTTCTTTTTTGCCATGTGAGAGCGTAATGAACTCCTTACAACGCATAATTTTCATGCTTTCATGGAGAAAAAATCAAAAGAAGAAAACAAACGTCATCCAAAATATGTTGCTTTTTCTCGATCCACATCAACAGTTGTTCATATGCCTGTGAAAACTGTCCCATTTCTAACAACGCTTTTTCCATTTTCTGTTGACGTTCGTTCAACAATGAGTATAACTAAACTGTTCCATGTTTAATAATAACAAATATCAGAAGCAAAATATGTGTTGGAGCAATACTGTGTTGCAGTATAATATTTAATGTCGTATTTTCAATATCTAAAAGAACAGAGGAAGTTTGAAATTCTAATTCATACTTAAATGACTTTTACCAGATAACTTTATCGAGGTGAAAAATATGACAATCCCTCTGTCTCTTCCCTTTCAAGTGGCAAATATCAGATTCATCAAATGAAATAATTTTTAAAAAAAAATTTTTCATATTTATGAAATCAAGAAATGTTATGACAAACAACTGCGGATTAGATCCTTAACTAAGGCATCTTTGCGGAGATCTGAAGAGTCGCCGTTCAAAATACTCATTTCAGAAACGTTTCCAAAATTTCACCAAAAAACTGATTTAAATCTGTATGAAAAACGGCTTAACAATGGCTAAGAAAATCATATTTAATAAATGTAAAATCAGTTCAAAAAACTTTAAATTGATTTTAATTCTTCACAGCAAAACTGCTGTCCTAAGTATACTTATGGTCAATTTACAGCAACATGCAATGTTCATATCTTAAGTGTAAAAGAATAGAATTGTACTGCTGAAGTTATGGTAAGTCGACAAACTACCATATTCATCCGTAACACATTGCCAAGCCAGCAATACATGCAGGCTCACAAATTGCTCAGTAGTTGACATATTCAATTTCTTGAACAAACGAACGGCTTCATTTTACATATAGTTTTGCCAGCAAGTAGAATCAAACATAGTAGACCAACGAACGATTTATGATATACAGTTTAACAATTAAATATAAACTAACTCGATTCCAGCGAGTACTGAGGTCATTGTTTGAAGTTCTGATGCTTGCAGACTGTTGGGCAGTACTACCAACGCAAAGGCTTGCACATAACTGATTCAACTGTTCTTTCTCCAAAGCTTTTTCGTCCAGTAACGAACGTAAATCACTCAGAGCAGCAAGCTATAAAAGATGAGATGAAATCTACAAAAAAGATTGTAAATAACTGCTTCGTTTAAGAATTGAACGTTTTAAAATGATTTCTTAAAAATTTTACAGAACTATACGCTAAATGTGTACCTCATTTCTAACATCACTCGATGATGAGCCAGTACCAGAATATAACTTGAATACTTCAGCTTCCGTTTCTTCTATCCAATTTATCAGCTTCGTTAATAAATGATGGAATTCCATTGCTTTCTCCATGGCATCAAGCAAATCTGATTCTCTGAAAATGTTTATATATTGTTCTCTGTACAATACGATATTACTAAATTGTTCCTATGAACACCTGGCTCCACCAGATAATTAATTAAACTTGAACATCTAAGACTTACTTTCGTTCGCACATACCAGTTACCATAATCCAGTTTCCTTCAATTTCATTCATTTGCTGTTCTATATGAGCTTTTTCTTCCTCGGCAACCATATTACAAAGATCACGTCCAGCGGTATGCAATTTATCCATAACTTCGGGCTTCATGTCTAGCGTCTCACTTTTAATTAACTGTAATAATGACTAAATTACTTTCTAATGTTTAACAAATAATGTATGTTGGATTCCTAGCAATTCTGAAGGAAATCTTATTTCAATTTAAAGTTTTGATAAAACAAGCAATCAACAAACTAAGAGGATGTTTTGCTGCTGCTCAATGGTTGTTGGCTCTCCAAGGGCTGGCTGTATTCCTTCAATGCGCAAACGCAATTCATTAATCGCTTTCTGATGAAACTTCAATTCGTACCAAAAATGTTCTGCTTTAGCTAACGTATCTTCCAATACATTTTCTCTTGTCGTTACACCTTCCATTAGTTCTTCCCACAAGGCATCAAGTTCTTTGATTTTAATACCGATTTCTATAGAAAAAAAGATTTCACAATTGCTATTACAAGATCTGCATGATTCATCAAACAAAACACTATTCCGTCCTATTCTATCAATAGCTACGTCCTCTTTTAAATTACTTTTTTGAAATATAATACAGTTTTTATACATTCAATTATCAACACAGTAAGTTCACCTGCAGCTCCAGTATCATTTGCTTTTGCCTGAACCAGAATCTCATGAGCATTTTCCTTCACTGATCTCAGTATACTTTCTTTATGTTTAAGCTGTTCCATTAGAGAACGATTATCCATGATTTCTGATTTGATACGCTCTGGATCGGCTAGTATTGGCTCCGGATTTCGAATCTTTAATAATTATAGTAATACGCATAAAACAATTAATCACTGAATAAAGTTGGAGATTTAGGAATTGATGGAGTATTAATGTAAATATCAATATATATACCTGCATGGCAACACCATCTAAATTCGCCACGACAATATCCAATCTATCCGTGAATTGACTATCGTGCTCAATTGCGGTTTCAAGAGCCTCAGCTCGTTGACGAACGGCATCTCGAGCAGCGAAGAATCGTTCATCTAAGCCCTCAGCTATTTTTTGAAGCTGTATTTCATCTTCTGGACCACATAATTCGCTCAAAGCACAGACATTCTTGTGAAAACGATCCATTAAAGATTTGTGTGATATAATCGAATGTTGTAATTTCTAAAAAAAGAAAAAAAAAACTATCAAGATAAAATGAGAAATTTGTTAAAAAATTCAAAGCAAGAGGCAAATGTGAAAAAAAATTAAAAAAAAATTTTGTCTAATAAAATTAAAAAACTCGCAGTATTGTGAACTTGTTGCTGCATCAAATGGTCTCGTTGATGTCCTGTTGTAACAGGTGGACAGTTTTCAATCTCATTTTCCATACTTTCTAACCAGGAATGCATTTCACCAAATGACTGATCGATTTCAAGACATAATGCCAGCGCTTGTTCCAATTTACCCAACCTTTCGCTACCCAACTGAGCTACATCAACAGATAGAGTTCGACCAGTCTTGAATGAAAATCGACATAATACTTAATGTTGTTTGATGTATGTATACATGTATTTACATATATTATAGTTCATCGTTGTTAGTAACTGCTTCTTATAAGGCTTCTATTGTTCTATTTGCTCTAAGGATAAATAACCTCAATTTTGCTTTCCAATAATAAATCTTGACCATTGGCCTCATCACCCAAAGCACGGACAACTTTATGTGCATCTGCAATTGCATCTCGCAATCGCGCTTTCATCACTGCAATATCTTCGTTCATTTGTTTTTGATTTTTGAGCTGCTTTTTAACATAGTCTGGATCAACTTCTGGTGCTGCACTCTGCAACATAAGTTAGGCTTATCGAAATATTACAGGTAATTGTTAAGTATTGTGCAAATTATTTCGTATAAACAATACTTTCAAGAAACTGAATTAAATTTCTTCGTAGAAAATTTGAAATTTTTAGTGAAAAAAGTCAGAACAAAAAAATACCAAAATGAACAACGCAAGAACTATAAATAAATCATCGAAATACACCTGCATTAAACGTTCATGAGCATCAGCAAACCATTCATTAAGATAATCTAATTCATCCAAAACTTGTCGACTTTGCTTCTCGACCGACGTTAGTTTATCACTTTTACGCGTAATCTGAAAATGATTTAATACTTGTTTTCTAGATTAACTAAAATCTGAACGTAATAACATTTTTCATCCAAAAAATTCTATTTCTTAATGAACAGCTAATTTATTCACAAGTTTTAAAAAATTATGATCTTCTGTTCAGAATATCGGCTGAAATTTCAAGTTTTATACAGTCGAAAGACCTAACTGACCTGCTCAGCAAGGTGATTAAATTTGCGCTTCATATCATCGGTCTGTATTTCCAGTTCATCCGCTCTGAAACAGACGAGATTCTGAAGCTGTTTTGAGATAACGCTAATTTTCTCAACATCAGTACGCCACTTCGTCAAATCATCTTCCATTTGAGCTAATATTGTCACTTGAGTTTCAAGTGGAGTCTGAAATACATTATTCTAGAAATGATGTAATTATTCCAAAAAAAAAAAAAAAAAAAAAAAAAACATTTCAATTTTGGGCTTCACTTGTCTTTCACAACAACTAATAAAGAGCATATCACTGCAAAAAATTATTTATATCATATCTTAGCAACAGAACGGATAATGTCAACCACAGCGTTCAGTGAGAGAACGGTAATCCTTTTGGTTACGAATCCAAAATCTTGGATTATCAACTTTTTGAGTCAAATTCTTGAATCTAAATCGGCTATTTCAATTTCATCATTGGAATCAACTCATTAGTCACAGAAACAAAAATGACTATCACTTCAAACTTCCCTGAAAGAATTTTACCAAGCATCTTATCTCTATTTTGACCATCAGTAATGTTGTATCATAACTGATACCTGATCAACAGTCTGCAAATCTTGTTCTACAGCATCCATCCACTGCTGTATAATATCATAGCCATCATGGAATTTCTCCGACAGTGGTAAAGCTTCACTCAAAATAGCAATTTTGGCATCCGTCACAGCAGTTAAATCAAGATAGCGTGCACGTAATGTTTCTATACGATTTTGGAGGGCAACTGCTTCATCGCCGGTTGTTTGTCTACATAATTCATGACCGTCTTCAACAACCATCGAGACCAGAGCTTCCTGTTTCGTTATCTCTATTGCCAACTAAAACAATAAAGAATTAAATAATAAATAATCTTCAGTTGCAAATGTTTTTCTCACCGCTCTATTACGACTTACTACATTGATACATCTTGTTTTCCTACCACAGACTTATCTCTACACAAGAAATGCTCCAATTATATAGTCCTCATAATTTTTGAAGCTATATTTATTTATAATGCAATACAGTGCAATCATACATCGGCAAGCAAAGCACTTTGCTCGTTCAGCTCTTCTGGATAGATGGAAATCGTGTCTAACTTGTCCATATCATTCTCGATCTTACCTAACCAATTCGCTAGCACGTTGGTTCGTTGCAAAAAGTTTGTTATTTCCTCACCAACCTAGAAATGAATCTTGGAGAACGAAATCCAAACGTAAAATTTTGACAAAAAAATGAGTAAAAACATTTTTTTCAGTGAGTATTAGCAAAAAATAATTTCGATAATTAAGATGCTATTATTAAAATGGTAAGACGCATGTTTTGTTTATAACCAGAATTTTCTAACTCTACTTGCTTATGCCATCATCGTAAACATCAGTTTTTTCGAAAACAAAAAAAGACTATTCAATTGCAGTTATCTATCTATCAACTGCAGACTATAGCAAGCCAGGAACCGACTTAACGAGTCAAAGAAAAAAATCTCCCCAGTCACCTGTTGCAATAAAACTCCACATTCAGCAGCCCTTATACCCAAGTTTTCATATCGTATCATATAGTTTTTAAACATTGTCTCCAACTCGGCAGCTTCTTCGTCAGACGCTAAACTTGCCAGAAGAGGACTTAGCTGCATCATCTTCTCTACATCGGTGTGTTTCATTTGAATATTTTCTTGCAATTTCTAAAACTTTGGAATAAATATCTGAATTTCAAAGCGTAAGAATACGACGATTTTCTCTTTTATCCTAATTCATTGTTATAACTAGTTTTTGCTCATCTTCTTCCGCAGTCTAACTTCATTGTTTTTTCTTTATTTGAGTGACTAAAAAAAAAAAAAAAACTTGAATAAACAAACAATGTAGAACAAAGTCACAATAGAGCATTGTAAAAAAAGGAAACCTGATGTGAATTAATTTGCTGCTGAAATTTTTCCTCATCGATTGGCACCTGCCCAAGTTCTTGTAATGCACGCTCGGTCACTTCAAGCCATGTTTTGAACGGTCCAGATATTTGCGCCCAATCCTTGGTTAGAACAATCGCATCATGCAAGCAGCTACGTCTCTCTTGCACACTTTCGACTAACATAGCGTATCTGAACATAGTTCAGTTTTAATTTATAAACGTTAAACAGTAGAAAACATTCTAAACTGGATTAAAAGCTTGTATCATTAATATAATATTTTTTATTCCCAGTCGCTCTTACGTGCTTATTTTGCAAAATATTCCGATTAATTAACTTAAAAACAATAATTGCTTGCCTTTGTGTGATATTATCTGCTTGCTCTCTCAGTCTTTCACATTTCGTAACATCTGTTATAAGTTTTATAACTTTATCAATTAATGTTTTGAAACCATCGACACTGAAAATAGTCAAAGAGATGGAAAATATATTATCAAAAATTGTCATTTTTAAATAAAGGGAAAAAATTTTTAACAGGAATATTATAATACATTATTATATTTGGCTAATACCATGGAAAAAGCATTCATGCCTTGAAGATAATTTCGAAACGGCTTCAAGTAAGTACGTATACTGTGCTTTACTCTTGGTATTTTCTGATCCCATACCTCATTTACTACAGCTATTGTATTGATAACTTACGTTTGTTGCTTTTCTTCAATGTGTTTTAGCAAAATATCATTAGCTCGAGTTTGTTCTTTAACGACTTTGTATTCGATAGAGGGCGGTCGTTGGTTCTGCAGTGATTCTTCGGTATCTTGTAGCCATACAACAAGTGCGTTATGTGCATCAGTGTAACTTCCAAGTTCTTGTAACGATGCACAAACTTGTTTTTCACGATCTGCTATCTGTTTGTTTAAAGCGTTCCAAGCACTGGTAAGTTTACTCTTCTCCTCTTCCTGAATTGAAAAAATATAACTGAAACATGTTACGCCGTAAGAACTTCACTGAATATGAAGTTGATAAATCTACAACTAAGGTGCTAATCTCAAACATATTTTGTCCTCTTTCACAATGCTCATAAAATTTCACGTCACATGTATTTTGCGCATGAGGTCCATTGACCAATATAATTCTCTAATAATACAAATTAATAATACACATTACAAATTATCTAAAGTCACTTATAAAAATCAATATTATAGTTTGTAACGATGTACCAATGATGTTGTAGAGATTCCTTCATCGGCACTTTTTATAAGATTATTGCAACTTTCCAAAACTGTAGCATAATTTTTATTAGCAGGCCGTACTTTTTCACGAAAAATTCTCAATTTCTCCTGCTCCATCCGAAGAATATTTAATTCAGTTTGAACAGGTCCTTTTAACACATCATCATTTGCAAGCTTTTCAAATTCATCTCTTAAGGCTTCTGCTTTGCTGAAATCAGCTTTTTACATAAATCGAAACATCAATATTCTTAACCAAATTTAAAAATATAGAGGAATGCATGGAAATCTGAAAAATTCAAAAGTTGACATTAGATTCTTAAATTCTTCTTATTCGAGGCAGTATAGAAAGCAGTACATCTAAATGTTGACCAAGAACACATTAATTATGTTGAATTTTACGAGGAGGAATCTCTATTTCAATATGTTCAGGAATGATATGATAATCCAGCGGCAAAATGTAACAATTCATTTCCTCACAGTCGAATGACATTGAATAGCAAAACTGAATAAGCCTAAAATCTTAACAGTTAAGAAATAATTCCTTGGTGATTCTGTTTGATTGAACATTTACAAAACTAACCAAACAAATTCTTGTGCAGCCAAAAGCGTGTTCCCAATAACACGTTTGCGTTGCATGATAGCAGCACGTTGTTTGTTGAGATCTTCTCTGATTTCGCTTACTTGTTGCATCAATGCACTTTTTTGTGCCGTTTGAGTGAAAGTGCTGCTGCTGCTACAAACCTGCTGCCATTCCAATGTCAATTCGTCCAAAACCTGAACATAAAAATGTTTCTCAAAAATTCTATCCATTTTTACATATGCAGCAATGTAAATTCTAGTGAATCCTGTAATGAACGCACATATCAAACCATGATCACATTTATCTTTAAGTTTTATGATTTAAAGGTTTCTGTCTGAGAATAGGAGTAATTATGACGATATACACGTACTGGGCTTGATGTATTATTTTATTGGATGTTGAATGATATCCTATATTTTACAACGAGAGTGGAATCAGAGTTAAAATTAAAACTACGGAAACAAAAAATAAGTCAATTAACCTTTTCTTTTTCAGCATTATTTTTCAACAATTCATCACAAACCCTACTCTGTCGTTCTAATTCTGCAACATTGCGTTCAATCGGAGGCAAAGAATCCTATAACTTTTTATCATTAAAAACAAAACCTAAAGAATCTAAAATTACTTTGTCCTACTTCATAATTCATTACAAACAAAAAATGTCGAATTGGAGAAAGCCGAATCTAAATTAAACACTTGCATCTTCAATTAAATACTCACTTCATTTACATGCCGGATCTCAGCACTTAGCAAGCTGATTTTTTGTCTCACGATATCCAGTATTTCGTCTCTCTTTTTCATTTCAAGATGTAAACCCTGGATAAGTGTTACTACTTCGGCATATTCATCACCCATTTTAAGCACATCCTTATGAAGATTTTCAGTTTCTTCATGAGTAATAACTCCTTCGACATCTTTCAAAGCCGCATGTAATTCTCGTTCTTTTTTGTGCCATTTATTCTCAAGATCATCGATAGCTGAAATCAATAATATAGAAAGAAACCAACAAATTTGAAGAACTTCTCCTTTTTGGAAAAATTTTTGCAGAAATGCAAATCAATGGGATTAGAGACCAGCAAAAATTTCAACCACTTTTGATTATGCATATGCAAAAGCATCGAATATATTTAGTGCTCCATAAAAGTAAAAGTTAAATCAATTTTTTAAAATTATTACAAAATGCTCACTTTTCAACAGAACTTCTTTTGTAATTGATGAAATGCTGTCAGCTCTTTTCAAACTTTCAGCTGTTTCTTTCGCTGCATCTAACACAATTTGCGCTTCTTCTTTCTTTTTTGAAAATTGCTTTTGGATACCCTTCTTAAAATAAGAAAATTGGATATTTTTAGAAGACAATAAATAAGATTTCATTGGTGGAAAAGCGCCTACTTCGGATTTTCCTTGCATGACGTCGTGAAAAATGTTTAATAGAAACTCAGATACATAAATGGCATCCTACCGATATTTGTGCCTTCTGCAAAATATTATTGACATCTTTCAGCAATGCTCTCAAATCTCCAGTTACATTTTCCACTTCTCTACCAAGCTTTTTCAGTGATGGTCCAGTTGTGATTACTTCCAATTTATGCAACAAAGTTTCCAACAGAGCAATTTCAAATTCATGCTTGTCAACTTCTTGTTTCATAGCAGTTAAGTTAGCTATATCACTGTCCTAAACATACCAATCTGCGTGAAAATAGACAAACATCAGAAATAAAAACTGAAAATTATCATAAAATTTTCTAAAACATTAAAATCTTCCAAGCATTGATATCGTTTTGGATTCTCATTTGGTAAACATTGAAAACTTGCAAAAATTTAATACAAAACCAGCCTTGCTTCCTGAGATTTCGTTTAACCTTAATCGATTCTCATCTACTTGCACCGTTAGAGACTTCAGTAAAGTTTCCAACTGATGTATAAGATCAGAAGCTCGCTCAGCATTTGCATGTTTTATTTTAGTTTCTTCCAATAATGGATTCCAAACGGCAGAGAGATTATCAAGAGTTGCTTTTTGTTTCGGACATCGCATTTTTTTCATCTGATTCATCAGTTTTGCTCTGGAAAGCTTACTATTTTGAAATCTAGAAAGACTTTATTGAATTTACTTCGTACAACTTGAAACTGATAAGTTACCGAAGAAATACTCTATGAAGTTGGAGATGATTAGAATTACAACGGGTTGCAATCCATGTAGTTCGAGACAAATAGTTTGTAAAAGCTATGTTATCGGCATTTTAAACCTCAACAACACTTATAATTGACAATTATGTACTGAGTATTAAACAACTCAACCATGGGATTTAACTTAAAAATTTCTATAATCTCTGGCAAACGCATCACTCAAAGCAGACACAACAAATTAAACTCTAAAGTTAAAATTACCTTAGCAAGGTAATGTCGCCTTCCATATCCAACACAACACTGTAAATTTTTCCAATTGCTGCTCGCTGTTCATTGAGTTCTGTAGAATTAACTGATAAAGGACCCAAATCAGAAAGCTGCTCCCGCATATCTTTTATCCACTTTATTGCTGCTTCGACCTCTGTCACAGTTTGGCCTTCTTCATCCTTTGTATTTGTTGCTGCTACTTTCATACTTTCTGAATAAAAAATTTGTGAATATTATTCTGATTCAGCAAAGTGATTTACCAAAAGATTGTATTTTCAAGACATTTAGTTAAAATTTGACTCAGATTACATTGATCAATTTGTAGTAGTGTCTCTCTGAAACAATAGGGATAAACAGAAACAAGTTCCAATAAAAAAGTTAGAACGAAAGAGCCTCTCATGCATTCTGATATCACCTTAGCAAAACTGAACGTACTCATAAAACAACAGGCAGGTAAAGCATATAAGAACTTTGAAAAAACTAAATAAATGGTGCGATGGTGGCAGTATGAACAGTGGTTTTTCTAGCATTAACGCTTACCTATTTTCTTATTTAATTCTTGGGCAGTTTGCAACGTTGTATTTAGCTGCTCGCGTATATCCGTTTGCAAGCTATGATCTTGCGTTATCTCGCAGATTAAATTTACAAGCTCTTTCAGTTCATCTAACTGTGGAACTATTTCGGATGATCGTATACTTGATGCATTCAGAACTTTCAATTGCTCATCAACGTCGCTTTTAGATGTTAGTGGCGAACGACTTAATTGTTCTATTGCTTCCGCAACGCCAATCAGTTGCATTCTTAAAATAGTGCATTTTAATTATCAGTTAAATTTGTCGCCTTAAATATTTCAAAAAATCATAAGCCTCAGATTTGAAAATCCTAGCTTAAACAAGTCTTAAGTAATAAGTTTTTTTTTTTTTCAGTAATAAGCTTAGTTTCATTAATAAGGTGTATAATATATCACCAAGTACATCTATTTTACATGCGTAAAAATGAAGGATGAATAAAAATATAGAATTAGAAAACTTTACTTCACATCTCGCTGCTTGCTAGAAAAATTCGAACCAAGTTCTTTAACTTTTTGAAGAGTTATTTTCTTCTTTTCCAATTTATCATGAAATGAAACCCACTGGCGATTTAATGTGTCCACCTTAAAAGAAAACTTTGATCAGAGGTTCCAATTCTTTTTAAGTTTATATTCTTTCAATAAATTATTCAATCACCTGCATGACAATCTGCTGTGCGTTTGATGGAGTTGTGCTTCTGGCCACTAAATTATGTGCCAATTCATTCACTTTACTTCGGGCTGCACCCTGATCTTCCAACTCACCTCGAAGCAACTGCAAAATTAGTAACATTTCATGGCTTATAATAAAAAAAAGGACAAAAAAATAAGTAAAAAATACGAAATAAAAACCTCAGTTTGTATAAGCTGATTGTCAATAACTTTAGGGTCAATATTAACAGTTCCAATGGCCGACATCATCCGTTCCTTTTGTGTCAACCATTTGTCAAGACTTGTTATCCCTGCAAATATTACAGCCATAAAAGTAGTATTTTGGAACGAAGGGAGATTCTCGGAGTTCTAATAAAGAAAAAAATCTTGCCTTCAAACAGCAACTCCGCGTATTCATTCCACTCCTTCAATGCTGATACCGCTTGATCCAATTTCTCCCAATCAGATTCAAGAGCTCTCTGAGAGTTCACAATATCGGCAGTTCCCGGAACAGACGGTTCACTTATCAATAAACGTGCCTTGCTTCGAATTTCCTCCATTTCTAATTGTTTCTCTTTGAGAATTTCTTCCAGCCGTTTTGCCTTTGAAATATTCGTACGAACAACGTCGTTAACAAATATTATAGGACAGTCCGTATTCTGTAAAAAAAAAAAAAAGAAAAAAGTAGTGGCATAGAGAAAGTGCACAATCTTCCTACTCGCCCAGCTCATATTGCTAACGCATAATAAGTTTGAGGAGAACAAACAGATAATTGCTGGATAAAGCAGGACAAACACAAAACTAGTCAAACTTGAATTAAGCAGCCGTTTACCTAAGTATCCCACCGTGAACTAATTTCAAGAAAGAGAAAGAAACCAATCGTTTGCTTTCATTGTTGATCCAGCGGGCAAGACTATCTCGCTGTAAGTCCCAATCTGATAACTTCGCGCTATCCATACTGATCTTTTCATCTTTTAATCGCAGAAAAGAGCCCAAAGCAGTATATTTTTGCTGCAAGGAAGACATTTCACGTAGTGTTCCTTGAACTTGCTCAGATTGTTCAACAGTTCCCTTTATTTTCATGCTGAAAAAAAGGAAATATTTTGCAGCGTAGAATTTTAGTTTATTACTTATTCCATAGAACGAGCTGTGGTGGATAACAAGTGAGGTGTAATCAGTGAATAGGCAGAAGTGTGCCTATACAAAGAGTAATTAAATTAATCAGAACCAGGATGGTTTCATGATTAATATTGCAAGCTTCTTTTGAAAACACCATCTATAACCATAACCATCACATCCCATACTACTTTCGAATATATTCAGAGTGATTGGATAGTTGTGAATATTGTTTTTTATTCCCTTTCCTATTTATAATATTGTTATTACAATTTATAATTCTTATTCGCCAACCATAACTAAAGAATAATATGATTACAAATACACTGATTTCAAAAAAAAAGTCGAACTATTTTACACAAAATAGATTATTTAAATTTCGAAAAGTTACAACCTCGTAATGCTTTCAGCTTCAACCAATTTAGAAATAGTTTCACTAAGTGTTTCAAATTCAGAGCGACAATTTTGATATTCCATTTGCAACTGCTGACATGTTGAACGTTGCTTAGCCAAATCTATCGGATTCAACGAACATTTTTCCAGAACTGAAGATACTTTAAGTTGATTCATGAGAAAATACCATTCAAATTGGCAACTTGCAAATACGCTTAAAAGTATAACTAGAAGTTCCAAATGATAATAATTACCTTGAGCTTTCGCTTCAATATCTTCTAGATTTGCAGTAAGTTTGCTTTTCAGTTCATTAGATGTTTTACACAGTTTTTTAATTTCACATCCATGACCAATAAATTCCTCAACTCGAGAAACACATTTTTTGATCGCATTATCGGTATGAGTAACCTGCAATTAACAATTTGAACAGTCATTAGATTTTTAAATGATTATGGCGCCATTAGATTGCGCGCAAAAAAGAAAAAAAAAACATCACTCACGTTTATTTTACTCATTCACTTTAGTTTGAATCGATAAAATGGTTCAAAAATCGAGGAAAGAAAACGCTGATAATTATGTAATAATTGTTAAAATTTGATTAAACATGAATGGCAACAAAATAATTCAAAATAAAAAATACGGAAAAAGGAACATTTTTTTCCAAACAATTGTCTCCAACAATGTTAGGTACGGCAAAAATCCATCTGCATTTACTTTCCATTTCTTTCCATTCGCCTTGTGCTAAATGCTTCAGTTCATTGGAAATTTCACTCAGTGAACTTATATCTGTCAGTGAAATGTTGGATAACTTCTCATTCAACAATAATAATTTCTCGTTAATCGATGTTTCCATATCGTTGAAATCAGTTAGAGCTGTGGTCAGTTCCGTAATGTTATCAGCCCAAGCCTATATATATATATATATACTCGAATAAGTACTTGAACATCGGATCTTTCCATGAATAATATCATTTATTAATGAATAAGTACTAAATACTTGAATAAATATTTGCACTTATTTTAGAAATATGGAAGAATTGAGAACATATGACCTTCGAAATCGCGAATAATGTCGCGAATTTTCTCTGAGCATCGTTACAATCACTTAGCATCTGTCGGCTAGCTACTGAATCCGGATTAGCTGCTGCTATTTTTTGAGCATCTGCTGCCAAATCGGTAAGCACTTTTCGACGTGACGAAATTTCACGTTGTCGCAACTCATTCTGATGTCGCTAAAATAAATAATTGTTCGAAATACGTCTTCTTGCCTCTTCTTGCATAAAAGGTATTCAAGAAGATGAATCTCTTTTAAAATTGGATTTTCCTATCCAGTTAACTTTCTTATCCATTTTTTTCCTATTAAGAATGTTTCAAAGCTATATTCAGCTTCAAATCTAATTCTTTCTTATAATGGACAACGGAACAAAGATCAAACAGTTACAAACCAATTCAGTTAATTTGTCTACATAGAGAGGTAATGAAATAGGTTCCGAGTACCGCTTATTTTCTTCATCTAACCAGATTATTATATTCATCACACCTTCACGAATTCCTTCCATTTTTGCTAACTTACTCCGCCATAAATCAATATTTTCCTCAATCCTTTTTTGAGCACGAGTTTTCCTGAAAGCTCTTTTATTGAAATCATGAGCATTTAAAAATACTTCTGAAAATTCAGTCAAAAATGACCCATTAAAATTTGTTTAACTCGTTAATGATGCTTGATGCTAAGTTGGCAAATGAAGCATACAACAAAATAATCTCACTACACTACAAAGGCAGTATAAAATTGAAAACATTCTTATATTATTATAGAAATATAATAGAAATAACTAAAATGTGTAAGATGAGATCCCATCAAATTAACTAAAATGAATAAGATTCGTTCCGGTGAAAATCTAACACGTGTTATCGGTAGCATTCGGAATAAAAATTATATAAATTGCAGGAATGACCTTCGTATAAGTTCCTCAATATGACGCTGATTTTCACGCGAGATACGTTCATGAGCATCAGTGCCCATAAGTGCATTGCTAAGATCTACAGCGGATCGTGTAACAGTTTCAATTTTTCCTGTCTGTTCGAATGAGACATGGTGCAATGTTTCCAACTCAGATAATCTATAATTTCCATTGTTTAAATCATTTTAAAAACTTGAGAGAGAAATGTTAGGTTTTTAAATGCTATTCTTACTTTTCAAGGAAAAAGAAATGTTATTCCCACTTTTTTGGACAAGTTTTAAATGCTGTCTTATGGATAATTAAGTTAACATTGTGAAACAGAAAGGAGAGAAAATTAACATGAAATCTTAATTGGCACCAATACCAATTCTTTGTGACTTTTTCTTCACCTTCAGAGGAAGAGATCAAAGAAAGTTAGAGAACTGTGCTTGGATCAGCTGTGGAAATAATCATAATGAATCATAGAGATTCCCACTTCAATGAAATTCTCATCACTTCCAAGCAAATCAATTGCTGTTCTTGTTTCATGGTGAAAGTCGAACTCACAACCTACGACAAATATGTAAACTAATTAATGCGTCATTTATACCACAGCTCTCTTACTTCTGCTGTTGTGTTAGATTGGAAAAGGCAGCTCCTTAATTGCTAAAAATAATGCAGCTCCTTAATTGCTAAGCAAGGAAGCTATTTTCGGTTCATATTCAAAGCATACATTAAATAACATCGAAGTACACTAAGAGGTACATCTCAAAAAGTTCACCAAATTAGTAGAGAAAATATTATCTTATTTGTTAGAAAGATGAATTCGAATAAAAATATTTGCTAGAAACTGAAATATTATCCAAGGAAACATAAATTTCTTTATAGCTGATGAACCGAAAGCTCATCCTCATGATATAGTAAATACTTACATGATGGAGCCACCATCCATGGTATTTGTGCTTCGCAAAATGCTTTCCGTTTCAGAAATTTTTCTCTCTAAACCTGTGATTGACTCGTTTAGATTTTCTACATTTTGCGTATGCGTCACTACCAGTGACTTCAGCTGACTCAAATATGCGGATAATTCATGACAATTTCGAAGTAAAATATCGTAATCAGTCTGCAAAAACTACTCTGTACATGCTTAATAATAAGCAATTTCAGCAGTGACCTATTGATTTTTTAAAACACATTTGAAAAATTGGCTTTCACCTGCAACCTAGAAATAGCACCCATTAATTCATGCGTATCTATGGACGGAAACTGAGCACTGGGATATTGTGAACGCATTTCGGTCACATAACCATCAATTTCGGATTGTATACGTGTAGATAGCGTGAAAATGTCTTTCAAATGTTCTTTTGCAGCCACCACTTCATCCAGTACTGCCTAAATATTCAGTGGAAAACTAGCTAGCACCTTTAACTAGTTCTACAGCAACCTTGCAAATCGCAATATGAATAGAAAAACGATTAAAGAAGAACTGACCAATAACTGAAAGCTATCAAATTCAATCTAGTAATCAAATGTAATCTACTTTAGCTTTCTGGCGTGACGCTTGAAACACTTGCGAGTCACCACTTTCGGCTCTGATAATGGTTAATTCTCTGGTTTTTTCATTTAGAAATGAATGCAGCAGACCTGATTCATTTGAAAATTTCAGCAACAGCTTTGTTAAAACGTTCAACCTTAACGAAAACAAATTAAAGACTCATTTATTTCATCTTATCTCATTTTTATTATTCATTATTCATTTATTTAAACTACTACAAAATGTTAAAAAATAGGAAATGATCGATGCAATATTACTCATTTACTTAAAACTACTGCAAAAGGTAAAAAATAGAAAATGATTAATGCAGAAAGGATTCAATACCTAATTACAACATTTGTTTTAAACTAATTTCTAAATAGGCTTGAATATACCTTGGAAAAATGACATCGACATGCTGCAAAAGTTGATTGTAGTTTGTTTCAAGTTTATTTCGATACTCTTTTAGACTATTAAATTGATCCGGCGTGAGAAATTCTGCGCCTTCCGTACACAAACGATCTGTTTCCTCGATATATTCTTGCACTTTGGATGCGTACGTCAACAATTCAATTCTCATTTTCTTAAAGAATAAATATCAAATACGTCGCTGTGAAGTAAACTACAAACTGATTTGAATTTCCTGTAATAACCACAAATCTAAGAAGTAATTCGTAAGATCATATTTTGAATGGAAGTATCTTGTCTGCAACTACATTCTTCCACCACCAAAAACATATAACGTAAAAAAATCTTAATGTAATCTTAATGTAAAAAAAACTCTATTATTGACTTAAAGTTGTCGAAACCTGCATTCGATCAAAAGCTGATGACACATCCTCTGACGAGGTGACCAGCCAGAAACCTTCCGAAATTGCTGTACTTATCGCACCAAATGCATTTAGAATTTCCGACATTTTTATTTGTTTTTCAGTGCATTCATTATACAAATCTTCCTGCAAATCAATATCATTAACAACTACTTACCACTTATTAAATCAAGTATCTACTCTATCTGTTCCTTAATTATTAATATTGTTTTGTCATTTTAGATAGCATAAATATGTGATAATTCCAAATTCTATAGTGAAAAAAAAAAATGCTAGTTTAGTGTGACCAATAATGAAGTAATTTTATAGGGTTTGTTACCATAATTTCTAAAAGCATTCAATTCAGACAAGAAGGATATTTTCTAAAAGTAAGCATAGTAGATGTAACGTTGAAAAGAGCAGTACCTTTCCTATCACAAAATTGCAATTGAGAAAAAAATTTCTGACAATTTACTAAACAAATCTACAATTTCTACAAATGATAAAATAAGCTAACTGCTAGAATTCAGTCTCAGAATAGATAAGATATCCCCGTAATCTGTTTTTGATGAAAATGCTTTAGAATTTACTGCTTTAGCAAACACTCTCAAAAATAATGAAAAGACTGCATAATCTTTCCACTATTCAATTCACTTTTCCACTCATATTTGAATTAAATTTGCCCAGTTTACTTCAGGTTATGACGTAAAGAGAAAATATAGTTGGAAAATTTTAATTTATAGTGAAATAACGACTCCAACTCTAATTTTTCATTAATTGATCGCCTTTTGATAAATCAGTCAATTCGGGAGACTTCATTTTTCAATCTGATTACAACTCTAAACGAATGAAAGGTGTAAAAGGACGAAGTCTACGAGGATCTGCACAGTTGAGAACACAAATTTTTTTCTTTCAATCAAATTATGGTTCATTCTCTTGCATCACCGTCACTCAGATATCTATGATGCTAGAAAAAAATTAACTGTATTCAAACATCTTCCACTACAAGCCCTTATATAAAGATTTTTCAAATGCTATGAAGTGTGATGAATTAGAAATAAGTTGATGGGATTAATATCATGAGTTTAATACAATAAATTCCTACCAAATCACTTTTTACAATATGAAATAATTCATAAAGGGTAAATAAACTCTTCATAAATAAACTTGTCATTAATTCTTTCATTTACTGCTTGTCTGTGTCATTAATCACCAGAATTTAAGATACCGAAGACTTGAAGTGGAAAACTTTTTTTTTTTTTAAATACACCGGACTTTCTTTAAATTACAAATATGACTGCTGTAGATTTATCTGATCAAACAAAAAAAGCTAACCGATTAGTTGGAATGAATTATGAAAAGCTATCAAGTTAAAGCTAATATTTCTATTTACTGAAAAGAATCCGCGGAGTTTCACGCATGCCTATTAAGTCTCCATTCAATAAGTTCAGTATTTTCTCTGTTGCCAGATTCCATACAATTCCACGAGTAGAAAAAATTCACTAATATATCCTGCTAACTCCACCATTTTAATTTCAAAACTCAACCGAAGATCTATAAATTATTAACCAATCCTTGAAATCTCAAAGAAATCAAGAGCTAGCAGTTCAAACACTCTTATTTCTAGCTTATTAGCTCGTGTTGAAACGAATTTAAAAACAATTTTACCAGCACTGCATAGATCTTTGACTTTTATAGACTGTAGATGTGTAGTGTTTCAACAAAAATAATGCAAAAAATAATTTTGCGCTTTCAAAATTGCGCAGTCTTCATCATTTTTCCATTGGGGTTTCAAACCACACTTCACATGCTATTATTTCACGATATTTCCACGAAAACAGTTTATATACAAGAAAAGAAAAGAATATTACAAAATCGATTTTAGTTAAAAGAAAAATGACAACATGAGTAATGAATGTGGAAGTGAATGCTTCTAGATGTGAAGAATTTCGAGATTTCATTCTCAAAGGATATGAAATTAACTGATGTGGGAGAATTGGGTAACTCATCACTCAATCCATTATTCAGATCACAACTGTGTAGTTAATCCATTTTGTTACCTTTTAAATAACCATATATATTTCAGTTGAAAGTGAAGCAACAATGAAGGAGTGGTAATGTCGAGAAATGCTGGCAGTGAGTAATACCTTCTGTTATTCCATTGAACAAGAAACATAATGAAATGATGTGAACTGAGTAGTAACAAACAAAAAGAACTGTAATGCTCAGATGAATGTTTCACACTAATAGAAACCACAGTCTCAATGGCAGCATACTTCCATATTTACACTCAATTCCCTTACTTAATCAAAAAAAAAAAAAACGCCTAAACATAACAGCACCTACTTCCTCAGCTAATAAAAAACAGTCATTCTGATTCTAAACTTTTGTGTAATCAAATTAAACAGTAGTTGCTTTTTCATGTTGAAATTTCAAACTCTATAAAAAATAAGAAATTTTCTACTACTGCATATTTATAGAGAGGACAATAAATGTACCGTGTCAAAATTAGGAGAGCAGCTCCATCGTTGTAAAAGCGTTAAATTTAGGATAAGGAATTAGAGAATACTAAAAATATATAAATGAACATCATTATACGAGTAAACAGTGTGTCTTGCACAATTAATTGTTGAATGTTATCTATTAAAAATGAATGACCAAGAAATTTAGGCAGATGTTCCACAGTGTTTTTGATTCAATTAGAAAGTGTGATAGTTATTTCCAACATTAAATTTTGAGGGAAAGCTTCTTAAAATAATCAATATTACACTTTTAAGGGATAAGAGCACTAAACAAAATAGCACTACAAAAATACCATCAAAACTGAGTAATTAATTACTGAGGAAACATATCAGAAGTTCGCATCGTTGTGGATGATGTCGATGATGTATAGGTTGTGTATGGCCCAAGTGGATCAGTAGTTTGTCGCAATTCAGATGGCTGGCCACGCCAACTGACAGTTTTCGTGTAAACTTTAACTCCAGATTCTGAAGGACTAACGCTAACAGATTCAACTAATGGTATCTGTCCTAACTCTTCCACACAGATATTCAACGTTTCCATCATTCGCTTGGCTGCATCAGCAGTCATCATTTTCATATGCACCGCTCGCGGAATTGAGTATCGCCGACCACTTGTTGGATGAACGATATCGCCAGTGATAACATCTAACAGGCCACTTTCTGCAGCCTCACGGATTGAAACTCGTAAATTGTTTTCTGGATGTTCGATCACTTTTTCTTCAACATCAAAGCCGCGTTCCTGTAGATTGTCTAAAAACTCGTGCTGCAAATCGGCCATAGCCTGAGGGTCATCAATTAGGCTTTGTCCTCTACTTCCTCGTGATGCTTCTGAGATAGATCTCACTCGACGTGAGAGACTAGGCTCAGGACGATGAGGTGATGAAAACTTCCCGACCGTTATCTCTTCTCTATAGCGTGGTGTGCCACTCCCAATTTTCCCTTCATTTACTGACTCCAATTTAAACCTATAGCCTTCAGCATCACGGCGTTTCACAGCTTCTGTGACTGCTTGAGCAGCTTGCATAGGAGATGCAATCAAAGCGATCAGACCTCTTGCTAAGGCATCCTTAAGTGTAATTTTGATTCCAGCGCGTATGTGGACATATCTACCATCTGGATCAATAAGTCCCTGATTCAATGCTTCCTTAATTGTCATTGTATGACTAGATTCCAGATCGTGCAATAAAGAATCACCGTCAATAATATCACGATCAACAGCGGATTTGAAGGTCAAATAAAGACCTGATTTATTATCCCTTATTCGTCCAGAAATCTCATCGAATTCTTCCGTGAACAATATATTTGCCAGATTTCGCTCATCTGAACCTTCCAAAGCTTCAACATTACCGGTATCAATATATCCTTCCTCAATCGCTTGATTAATCGACATCTGCCTTCCCGAATCGGAATCAGTAAATTGATTCTGCGCAACATCAATCATGCCTTTGCTCAACGCTTCCGCGAATGCCATTTTATCAATGCGTTTTAGTTTCTCACCAATAAACATCGGTATTTTACCCTCTGCGGTTGCACGAGAAACAGGCATAATAATCTGTTCATCAAATTGAATAGTTTTGTTTCTAGGATCCACTAGTTTATTCTGAACGGCCTCAATTAGATTAAGTTTTCTTTTTGTACGGTAATCAAATAGAAAAGGTTCTGTTATGGCTTTATAAGTTTCAGCATCAATCAAACCCTTATTAGAAGCATCCTTCAGAGTTATTATCTCTGCTGTAATGATGTTTGAATATTGGCCTGTACTTGCATCAATGAGACCTTCGGTCAGAGCAGTTAACACTGGTACTCCATATCCTTTTGTTGGATCGTACACTCCTTCCATTGTAAGACTTGTATATACCGGTTTCATGATATCTAACCAAGCTAATTTCTCATTTGTGAATGGGTTCTTCACCTCACCGGTTTTCGGATTTATAACACCGAGTTCTATAGCTCTTTGTACTGATATCCTTTCTCCATTTGCCGGGTGAGACACACCCTTTGGTAATGTTTCCGATAAAGTAACATCCACAAGACCCATATTTGCCGCTTGTGCCAGTGTCAAGGCATCACCTGTCTTTGGATTGAGGTAAGTTAAATTTTGCAAATCAACCAATTTAGCTCGAACAGCATCTTCCAAGCTTAATTTTTCACCACGAGCATCGATAACACCTCTTGTGACAGCATTTTGAATGTTCGATCTAAAAACTGAGTATGTCTTCGTCATTTGCTTTCCTTTTTTGTCAATGCGCGCAATACCAATTCGTTGAGCATCTTGCAGTGACATGACACGACCATTTCTTTTATCTCTTATCTTATCAATCCCAACAAATTCAGCATGCGGTTCCAACTGAATAGACTGCACCTGTGCAGTACTTTTCACGACGGTCTTGGCCTCAGTCATGTAGGGATCACCATGCAATTGGATCGTAAACTTCATCCCAGATGATGGATCAACGTATTCACCTCTCTCAACACCTCCTTCTCCACGCACAACTTTCACCATTACATGTTTTCCACCACCCAGATCAACGATTTCCTGACGTCCTGAACCCAAAGTACGTTGTTCCATAACAGCAACTGCTGACT